AAAATAATTTATGATGAGTTTCTTTAACTTAGTACTTCTATAATATTGTCATGTTTACTAGAATATGTATGTTGTTTCTATTACTGATACTGCTTACAAACCGTTTATTGTCTTTGTTTCAGGTAATGACAAGTTGGAGTAACGGTTTATGGCCAAGCCACTTTGAAGGTATATGTTGGTACACAAAAGAAATGTCTTAACGTTTTCGGAGTCGACCAAAAAACTCTGGTATTGCCAAATGATCCCGAACATGGAATTGATTGTTAAATTTAGTGTGTTTGTGATGCCATTTCCCAACATAGTATTCTTTTGTGTGTAAACATTGCTTGGATAGTTTTTTTCACTGGTTGCAACTTTTATTTTTTACTGGTATTATTATATAAAAAAGTGCTATGTGTTATGTGTGACCCCAGTGTGTGTAATGGAGCTGTATTTTCATTTGTATGGCTTCAGATCTAATGATGCGACCGGTGATTGCACAGTGTTCAAATATGCTTTCTAAAAACAGTTTATATAAGTTCTGTTTAAATTGTTTATGTGTAAAAATAAAGTTGATTGAAGTTTTTGTTGTTATGTTGTGTATCATTATTGTACTTAAATGTCATTTCCGTACCAGACCAATTTTTTCTAACAATTATCATTTTACCAACATATTTTGCATTTTGTTGTATGTTATAGTTACGTGGCTCTCAACACTATTTTCTTTAGACTATCCGGCCATTGTACGATTGTACTTTGTTATGGGATTCCTTGTATGGGCAAGTGGAATGTTACACCCCAAGGCTGTATTTGAATTACAGTAAATGTAGATTTCCCAGTGGGCTCAAATCGTTATTAAAAACGGAAATTTCTATTTTTAATGTTTGCTGTTAATTATCTTCATTCTTGTATATGCCATAATAAGGTGTCAACACATCACATCATTTACTCATAAAACGTAAAATAAATTTGGTTATGGAAATGAAATTTTGTAGACAGGACACATCTGGTGAAACCTAAATGGAAAAAATACTTGCAATATTTATCGCTGCTACCACTTCAGTCCTGCAGAGGAATACTAACACAACTTACTGGTCATTTTTTTAAAGAAGTGTCGTTAAATTGCAGTGAAAAAAAAAATATTTGAGAATTTGTAAAAATAAAATAGAATGACCCATTGACGTTTGACCCTGACGTTGGGTAAACGTTGGCAGAAGGTTGGATTTGAAAGTTTTTTAGACGTCAGAAACTGACGTCTATACAACGTCATAAAATGACCTTTATCCAACCTTTTCTGACCATAATCCAACCTTTTCTGACCATTATCTGACCATAATCCAACCTTTTCTGACCATTATCTGACCATAATCCAACCTTTTCTGACCATTATTTGGACATAATCCAACCTTTTTCTGACCATAATCCAACCTTTTCTGACCATTATCTGACCATATGCCAACCTTATCTGGCAAAATTTTCTGACCATGATTTAACCTCATTCAAAACTTTTGGAATATGATTTTTTTTTTCATTTTGGAAGCTCTTTATAGGGTTAATAAATAAGCATTCTTATGATTTTAGCAATTTATTTTATACTCGGAATCAACAAGTTACAAAGCAAGAAATGTGGTACTATAACAAATGCAAGATTTACATAATATTTTTTGAAACTATTAAACTTGACGGTATGTACTTTAATAACGCTTCATGTATTAATTAAGCATGTTTTAGAAATAAGATAAACAAAATCCTTCTGGAATATTAACACTGACATTTTATATAGCAAACATCCATGCATGTGTTTATTCTTATATCACCACTGAACTGATCACTCGAGTTAGGGATTTTTCAATCATCTATCCAACTCACTGATTGTATATTTGTCTTTGTATTTTATAACTGAATCTAGTTCTGAATGTTAAATGGAACAATATTCTGAATATTTTGTTATAACTATAAATAGCAATGTTCATGTATCTTCATTAGTATTCTAGCTTCTTTCGTTCTCCTACACTATGTCGATCTGGGGCATACTTTAAGCGTATCATTACCGTCTCCAACCTGAGATCTCATCACACTTTCTGAAATTAAAAAAAAATAAAATAATCAGTTACAAGTGCAAGAAATAAATCACTTTTACATATTATAATTTAACGAAATTCTAACAAAACTTTCCAACTACTTAAAAAGATACTTACTATTTTTAATTTAGTTTAAACCATGTAGTTTCGTGTACCTGCTGTATATATCTATTAATTTTGATAAAAATGGCTTCGTGAATTTCATTATAAAATAAAGGGTAATAAGATCACTGTATTTTCTATAATATTTTGAAATATACCTGTCACAAAATCTTGGTAGGTTTTCATTTTTCTTTTCCTCTAAATATTTTCATCTTCCTCCTGAACTTTTGACACATGTTGAATTATCATAATTTTCACAATCTGAAAGACGAAATATAATCGTTTTAGAATTTAACCATGTGTGGGAAGGATGTTTGTCTAATAAAATAGGCAAAATCCAATTACTATTAATCTTAGTTACAGTAACTCATAAGCGCATGAAAAACTGATATAACAAATACCAAAATGAAATTAATTCTACTCCCGCAAAAATTGATATTGTTATTTTTTATATTCAATGTACTTTGTACAAATGCTCATACAACATCAAAGAAATTAACATGTTACTGTCATTTTTATAGATATCATCTCTGCCCAGCATGATCTGGTCTGCTAAGTGTATATAGGAGAGACTGGCTTAGTGTATAACGTTTTATGATACGAGCATACAACTTGTTGATAAGCAGGCTAATTAACAAACTATTACTTTTATTGATTTATAACTATGATAATGTGTTTTCTGATTGATAATATGTTGTTTGATTACATTAATAAAAAGATAGCTAGTCAAATACAATGTGCTTTCAGATATATCTTACCAAAGTCGTATTATTTACATGTATCAAATGCCATGAATCATTATCATAATATAAGAAACACATGGTATGCTAACAGTATGGGTAAAGTACTTCAATTAACAACGAGTAGTTTAACAACTACACAGATATCAAAATCAAACTGCATCCGATACATGTGTAAATGACTGGTCCCTCATATAAGGGAAATTCATGTTGATAAGAAGTATAAGACGAAATTTAATTTACCAGCATTTGAATAATAAGAGTCTTACGTACTGCATTTAACTTTTTATTGATTTCAATTGCTAGGATATTTCCTACCATTGATTGTGCATTTATTTGGCATGGCGATATAGTGTGGGCAAAATGATCCGATTATACAGACTGTTCTATAGCAAATGATAAAGTGTACTTACGTGGAAACAAAAATATTTATCTCGCGAAATCACGTTACATTAAGTTTTACCAGTCAAACATTTCAATGATCAAATAACCATCGAATCCAAACAAACATGCGGTAAATTAGCATTGAAAAACAATATATAATGTTTGCCTACCTTTTTCTTTTGTTTGGAATATACAACTTTGTCTGTCAACCCGTCGTTTTTTTGTCCGCCAATACAATTGAATTTCAAATCCGATAAGTCGCAAATTCGAATTTACTAAATTATTTACCACTATAAAATGAAGCCCTCAAAAATGATAACAGCTTCTTTGTAAATTATATAAACACTTCTTAGACTAATTCGAAGAGATAAGATATTATTTAAACGAAAATAGAGCAAATATATTTCATACTGATCTGCGACTATCCGTTTACAGAGCGCCACCTATCGAATATCGTACGTTAGCCACCCACGTGATACTGTTGTTTTGATGGAGAAAATGAATACATAATGTTCCCTTTCTAAATTTAAACTTAAAATTCTCGCTGTTTATGCTTTCATTTATATATTTATCACACACCCGTGCCGATTTTGCGACTCCGTAAATATGGTATGGCACGGCCGTGCATATATTTTGACGTGACGTCATTAGCGTTATGCTAACATAGTGTAAAGACGCGCTAAATGTTAGCGTTATACTATAGGAGCGTCAATGAAAAAATGACTCTTATTTCACCTTAAACGGTCTCTATTTTGGGTATGTGATAAATAGAATATTAAATTCGTGTAAGTTCATTACTGAATTTATTGTACTCGTTGAATAAATTAATATTATGCTCGCCAGAGGCTCGCATAATATAATTTTATTCAACTCGTGCAATAAATTCAGTATTGAACTTACACTTATTCAATATCCTCTATATATTGGTTTCATAAATTAAATTCACCTATTGTCAGATTACCGACCAAAACCCGACGTCGAGGCGACGTCAAAATGAAACGTCTGTTAGACGTCGGGGATTCAACGTCGATTTGACGTTGTAAGAAGGTCACCGACGTCGCGACCAAAATTCAACGTTGATCCAACGTTGGGTCAACGTCGGGTGTTTGCTGGGATGTAAGTGGTACCGAATAACGGACCCATTCACAATCACAAACGGACCTTCACAATTTTCAGACTGGGTCCGACGGAGCCGTTCACAATTTCTGGTGAAATTTCACAATTCTGATTAATTAAGACTACTTAAGCCTTGAATAGCGTATTATTTCCTCTCTTCTCATAATGATGCTAAAATTTTGCCTGTTGTGCTGTTGTTTATCTTAAAATGCGTTTAGCCAACCATGATTTCCGGTGCATTCGCCCTTGAAACTTTTGTACTGTTTAAATACAAAACTTCTAGGGACAAATCAATACTGAAACAAACGTCTGATAATTTCTGTAAACATCATTCAAAATGTCTCGTAACAGTAAATATTATGTTAAAAAATTATATGTTCTTACTGCTTAATAAGATATTAACAATCTTAATTAAAAAATTCACAATTTGTAAAGAAACACACTTTTTTTCCACAATTTTTATGGTACCCGACCCATTCACAATTCAGGGGGAAAATTGCTGGATAGGAAAAAACTGGGATATTTATCAAAAAGTGAGAATTACTCAAAAATCTTATAAAAACTTATTACATAACCTCTTTTACTTTCTTTCTCATAGACAGCAAAGATGTTACTACAAACCACAATATATCTGCTGTTCCTGTCAACAGTTTTTGCAGGTAGTGTTTCTTCTTGACTTATTTCCTGTTTTCATATCTAAAGTTAACTGAAATTAAAGATGACATTGTATAATGATTGATTCAGTCCAAATCATATAATAATGTTATATGGATAACAAATATTGATGATGCTGAGATATAGATCTAGAATTATTAATTGATATAATATTATTTCATTTCCTTACTTGTTTTCATGTGTTTTTTTTCCCTTCATAAAATACATTGTATGCAGAAAATTATTGTGTATTAATTATATAAGTTTATAAAGGTCCTCTGTACAGTAATAATCATCATTTGTCATCAAGGTCTAAGAACTATGTAAAGAAAATATACTTTGGCATAGTAAATATATTTATTTTGTTAAGTGTAATTATATATAAACTTCTAAATACTGTTGTTTTAGTTAATCGCCCACCAAATATATATGTGCAGCCAACAGACCGTGATATATATTATAAACCTGGAGAATCAGTTGAGATATTGTGTATAGCTGATGGTATACCAAAACCAAAGTAAGTCAAAATTATTTCTACAAGCTGGCTAATTTGTTCTCAGTGATTTTCCCTGGTTATATAACAGACTCTGATACTCTCATGCAGTTTTCCCAAAAATCTGAACTTAAAACTGCTTTTTTACTTCCAAAATTAGCAATTTTAGTGATAATTTTTCCCAGGCTTCTTCCCAATTAAGTGAAAAAAAACACTGGTTCTTTTATGTCCATATAAGTTTAATTTCTACCTGAACAGTTCTTTTTTAAATACTAAGATTAATTCACAAAACGTTGTTTTTTTTTCTGGAATTTTAATACGATTATAAATGTACTTGAAATAATATTTGATAGCGGATTATAAGTTGCTATAGTATTTCGCATACCAATACAGTCAGAAAGTTTGCCAAAAACGACCATCACATAAAGTTGTTTTTTTATTCCAAAAATGATATCTCTGGGAGAATAACTATAATGAATATTATTATATTGACACCTGCAGGTATATATGGAGACGTAACGGAGAGGCATATAATCCCAGCGGTCAAGATGACCGTGTAGTCCAACTACCAAATCAAGGTACAATCGTGTTTAACAAGCCAGAAGATAAAGATGAAGGTATCTTCCAGTGTTTTGCTGACAATGGGTATGGAATATCTGCTTCAGTGAAGATCAACCTGAGAGAAGCTAAACTTAAAAAATTTGCATATGAACCAAGACAGGTATGTGTATGAAGTTTGAAGAATTATGTACAAACTTCAAATTTTATTTCACTGGAAAAAAGCAGTTGTCCTTCACTTTAGATATATATCACTTAGAAGCATAGCTTTCAAAGAAATAGTAGGTCCATGGCAGTTGCTGTTATTAATTGCTTAAGCAATGGTTAAATAAGGCTTTCAGTTCATTTTTTGCTGTCATCTGATTAATACTAAGTTTTACTTAAAATATGTTTTTTTCATATTTTACTGGAATACCCAAATGAGACAGAAGGCAATATGTATATGTACACTTTCAGCTTCTTACATGTACTTTATGCCATTCTTTCCATTAAATTTTATGTAAACATAATAAAATAGTTTGGCAAAGGGACACAGCTATTTCCATATTTTGATTATGCTACAGAATTTCCCTTAATTAAATGTCAGTATTGTATAGTAAGTACAACTCATTTTAATTTATTTTTTCAGACACATACAGTTTATGCTGGGAAGGATCTAACTTTACCATGTACCCCACCCCAGAGTTATCCACCTGCAGATGTTTATTGGGTGATAAAAGAACCAGATGGTAGATGGCAAGCTATCAACTTTGATAAAAGAGTTAGCATGGATATTGAAGGTAAGTCTGCTGCAAAATGGGATAATAGATTACAAATGAATGTTTATGTGTGACCTAAGTGAGTAGATTCAAGTGGAGTGATTTAATGTAAGGTGAAGGGGGGGGGGGGTAAATAAAGCAAAACAAGTGATGTTGACTCTAATGGGGTGTTTTTGACTGGTACATACATAGTGGAGTGGAGTATATTGAAGTCTAAAGTCTAGTAATGTGGTGTAGTGGTAGAACAGTAAAGTGATGTGGGGTGTAGTAGAGTGATGTGGGGTGTAGTAAAGTGATGTGGGGTGTAGTAGAGTGATGTAGGATGTAGAAGATTGTGATGTGGGGTGTAGTAGAGTGATGTGGGGTGTAGAAAATTGTGATGTGGGGTGTAGTAGAGTGATGTGGGGTGTAGAAGATTGTGATGTGGGGTGAAGTAGGGTAATGTGGGGTGTAGTAAATTGTGATGTGGGGTGAAGTAGAGTGATGTAGGATGTAGAAAATTGTGATGTGGGGTGTAGTAAAGTGATGTAGGATGTAGAAGATGTGATGTGGGGTGTAGTAAATTGTGATGTGGGTGAAGTAGAGTGATGTAGGATGTAGAAGATTGTGATGTGGGGTGTAGTAGAGTGATGTAAGGTGTAGAAGATTGTGATGTGGGGTGTAGTAGAGTTATGTGGGTTGTAGTAAAGTGATGTGGGGTGTAGTAAAGTGATGTGGGGTGTAGTAGAGTGATGTAGGATGTAGAAGATTGTGATGTGGGGTGTAGTAGAGTGATGTAGGATGTAGAAGATCGTGATGTGGGGTGTAGTAGAGTAATTTGGGGTGTAGTAAAGTGATGTGGGTGTAGTAAAGTGATGTGGGGTGTAGTAAAGTGATGTGGTGTAGTAGAGTGATATAGGATGTAGTAGAGTGATGTGGGGTGTTGTAGAGTGATGTAGGATGTAGAAGATCGTGATGTGGGGTGTAGTAGAGTAATTTGGGGTGTAGTAAAGTGATGTGGGTGTAGTAAAGTGATGTGGGGTGTAGAAGATTGTGATGTGGGGTGTAGTAAAGTTATGTGGGTTGTAGTAGAGTGATGTAGGATGTAGAAGATTGTGATGTGGGGTGTAGTAGAGTGATGTAAGGTGTAGAAGATTGTGATGTGGGGTGTAGTAGAGTTATGTGGGTTGTAGTAAAGTGATGTGGGGTGTAGTAAAGTGATGTGGGGTGTAGTAGAGTGATGTAAGGTGTAGAAGATTGTGATGTGGGGTGTAGTAGAGTTATGTGGGTTGTAGTAAAGTGATGTGGGGTGTAGTAAAGTGATGTGGGGTGTAGTAGAGTGATGTAGGATGTAGAAGATCGTGATGTGGGGTGTAGTAGAGTAATTTGGGGTGTAGTAAAGTGATGTGGGTGTAGTAAAGTGATGTGGGGTGTAGAAGATTGTGATGTGGGGTGTAGTAAAGTGATGTGAGGTGTAGTAGAGTGATGTGGGGTGTAGTAAAGTGATGTGGGTGTAGTAGAGTGATATAGGATGTAGAAGATTGTTATGTGGGGTGTAGTAGAGTGATGTAGGATGTAGAAGATTGTGATATGGGGTGTAGTAGAGTTATGTGGGGTGTAGAAGATTGTGATGTGAGGTGTTGTAGAGTGATGTAGGATGTAGAAGATTGTGATGTGGGGTGTAGTAGAGTGATGTAGGATGTAGAAGATTGTGATATGGGTGTAGTAGAGTTATGTGGGGTGTAGAAGATTGTGATGTGAGGTGTTGTAGAGTGATGTAGGATGTAGAAGATTGTGATGTGGGGTGTAGTAGAGTGATGTAGGATGTAGAAGATTGTGATGTGGGGTGTAGTAGAGTGATGTAGGATGTAGAAGATTGTGATGTGGGGTGTAGTAGAGTGATGTAAGGTGTAGAAGATTGTGATGTGGGGTGTAGTAGAGTTATGTGGGTTGTAGTAAAGTGATGTGGGGTGTAGTAAAGTGATGTGGGGTGTAGTAGAGTGATGTAAGGATGTAGAAGATTGTGATGTGGGGTGTAGTAGAGTTATGTGGGTTGTAGTAGAGTGATGTGGGGTGTAGTAAAGTGATGTGGGTGTAGTAGAGTGATATAGGATGTAGAAGATTGTGATGTGGGGTGTATTAAAGTGATGTGGGGTGTAGTAGAGTGATGTAGGATGTAGAAAATTGTGATGTGGGGTGTAGTAGAGTTATGTGGGGTTGTAGTAAAGTGATGTGGGGTGTAGTAAAGTGATGTGGGGTGTAGTAGAGTGATGTAGGATGTAGAAGATCGTGATGTGGGGTGTAGTAGAGTAATTTGGGGTGTAGTAAGAGTGGATGTGGGTGTAGTAAAGTGATGTGGGGTGTAGAAGATTGTGATGTGGGGTGTAGTAAAGTGATGTGGGTGTAGTAGAGTGATATTAGGATGTAGAAGATTGTGATGTGGGGTGTAGTAGAGTGATGTAGGATGTAGAAGATTGTGATATGGGGTGTAGTAGAGTTATGTGGGGTGTAGAAGATTGTGATGTGAGGTGTTGTAGAGTGATGTAGGATGTAGAAGATTGTGATGTGGGGTGTAGTAGAGTGATGTAGGATGTAGAAGATTGTGATGTGGGGTGTAGTAGAGTGATGTGGGTGTAGTAGAGTGATGTAGGATGTAGAAGATTGTGATGTGGGGTGTAGTAGAGTGATGTAAGGTGTAGAAGATTGTGATGTGGGGTGTAGTAGAGTTATGTGGGTTGTAGTAAAGTGATGTGGGGTGTAGTAAAGTGATGTGGGGTGTAGTAGAGTGATGTAAGGTGTAGAAGATTGTGATGTGGGGTGTAGTAGAGTTATGTGGGTTGTAGTAGAGTGATGTGGGGTGTAGTAAAGTGATGTGGGTGTAGTAGAGTGATATAGGATGTAGAAGATTGTGATGTGGGGTGTAGTAGAGTGATGTAGGATGTAGAAAATTGTGATGTGGGGTGTAGTAGAGTGAATATAGGATGTAGAAGATTGTGATGTGGGGTGTAGTAGAGTTATGTGGGTTGTAGTAAAAGTGATGTGGGGTGTAGTAAAGTGATGTGGGGTGTAGTAGAGTGATGTAAGGTGTAGAAGATTGTGATGTGGGGTGTAGTAGAGTTATGTGGGTTGTAGTAGAGTGATGTGGGGTGTAGTAAAGTGATGTGGGGTGTAGTAGAGTGATGTAGGATGTAGAAGATTGTGATGTGGGTGTAGTAAAGTGATGTGGGGTGTAGTAAAGTGATGTGGGTGTAGTAGAGTGATATAGGATGTAGAAGATTGTTATGTGGGGTGTAGTAGAGTGATGTGGGGTGTAGTAGAGTGATGTAGGATGTAGAAGATTGTGATGTGGGGTGTAGTAGAGTGATGTAGGATGTAGAAGATTGTGATGTGGGGTGTAGTAGAGTGATGTGGGGTGTAGTAAAGTGATGTGGGGTGTAGTAGAGTGATGTAGGATGTAGAAGATTGTGATGTGGGGTGTAGTAGAGTGATGTAGGATGTAGAAGATTGTTATGTGGGGTGTAGTTAATTGTGATGTGGGGTGTAGTAGAGTGATGTAGGATGTAGAAAATTGTGATGTGGGGTGTAGTAAATTGTGATGTGGGGTGTATTAAAGTGATGTGGGGTGTAGTAGAGTGATGTGGGGTGTATTAAAGTGATGTGGGGTGTAGTAGAGTGATGTAGGATGTAGAAGATTGTGATGTGGGGTGTAGTAGAGTGATGTAGGATGTAGAAGATTGTGATGTGGGGTGTAGTTTAGGCATAATGAAGTGATTTTTTGTGTAGTGGAGTTATGTGGGGTGTAATGTAGTGATGTGGGGATTGATGTGGGGTGTAATGGAGGGATGTGGGATGCAATTGAGTGATGTCAGGTGTAATGGAGTGGGTTTAAGTTGTAATGGAGTGATGTGGGATGTAATGAAGTGAATGAAAATTTAACTTATAAGACAGAAATTTCAAGGTTAAAATTCATATACATATTTGTATGTGTTGTTTTATTTTTGAATGTTTATTGTAAAAATATTGAGAGGCAACATACAACTGAACATAGGAATCAGACTGCTTGGCTTTGTTATTTGACCTGGTTCAATACGCGTGACATGCCAGTCTTGTTGCAGCCAGCATTTTCAGGACAATTATTCTATATACAACCACACTTTATTTTTCAGGCAAGCTCCGATTTACAAATGTGTTGAGATCTGATATGGTCGGGGGTAGAGCTTACTCTTGTATGGCCATCAACTACTTCATGAGAGACAATGCCATTGGTCCAGAACATGTTGTCACAGTATTGGGATGTATGTTACTATAATATATAGATATTTTTCTATAAAAAGATTATTCAACTGTTTTAGTATACTGGCTTTAATTTGTTATATACAATGTTTTTAGATATGAATTATGGACTGAAACAGACTGAAAGAACATACTATGATCTTTGTAGCACGCCGAAACTGTTCGCAAGACTGCGAAAACTATTCAACGCCCCCTCATCAGATGTCATTTTTCATACACCCACATAAATTGTGAATATGTGATTATATATAAAAAGTAAAAAGACAAAGTGGAAAAATATTAAACAAAACTATTTATTTACTGATGTTAAACACTTTAATCCTTGACCTGATGAATTTATGTAATTAATTTGTGTCCAGCTTTGAATTTGTGACGGACAATTCAAAGGTTAGGGGATTTCATGCTTAAAATACCAAGGCTTACCAGGTTCAATTTTAGTACAATTAAAGGTTAAGTCACTATCCACATAGATTTGTTCAAATTTCAGCTACAGAACAGAAGCAGCCTGCTAAAGAATTGTGGACATCACCTAGTGACCAGTTCTTTGTTAAAGGTGGAACTCTCAGACTCAAATGTATTTTTGCTGGAAAGTATGTATTATATTAAATTCATAGTGATTTATATTGTTACCCTACTGTAAGTGATTGAGGTTTTAGAGATTTAGACGTTTAAATTATTAACTTGTGTCAAATACTAACACTATAAACTGTATATTAATTTGTTTAATACAACAAACTGTACAGGTTTTCATATACCCACAAGATCAACTTTTTCCATAGGCATATTTATATTTTTACTATATTAAGAGATTTTTTATGTTTTATCATAACCATATAATTATAGAGATGGGGTAATGGCATTTCAGAATTACAGGAAAAGATAATGATAATTTTCAATCTTTTATAGTCCCACTCCGGTAGTATATTGGGAGAAACTTGAGGGAACATTTCCAGATAGAGCAAAGTTTAAGAGTTTTGGACAAGAGTTACACATCACTGATGTACGTGAGTCAGATGCTGGCCAGTATGAATGTATGGGTCTAAACAGCGAGTCAACACAAAGGGCAACTAAAGCCTTTGATGTAAGAATAGAAGGTAAGTTTCTTTTTGTCTTAATTAAATTTGTAAAAGATAAATCAGTGACTACTGTTTTATTGATTTAACATCCTAGGTCTATGCAGAATAAAATGAGGACGTTGACTTCAAATTACTATGACTGTTATGGGTTTTAATTTGATTATAAGGAGGCTACTGTAGCTTTTCATTCTACTCTAGATAGACAGCCTACTAATGCTTTAAATTTTATGGCCGTCCATCCATATTTCAGTAAAGTATTTTATCAGAGGATAAAGTTTGGTATACTATAACTTTGCCAGTGGCTCTTGTACAAAGGGCAATTAACAGTTAACTTTCTAGTTGAGTGAAGACAGCTTCAGTCTTCTTGTAAACATTGAACTGATTGAAGCTAATGCTTTTTGGAAAAGAAAAAAAGTTTTTTAGTTGTTATTTACAATGATTGCATAAAGAAAAGTTGTTAAATAGAGGATAAAAAGAATGAAAGAGCTCATATTAGTAATGTTATTTCAGCGGCACCTTTCTGGGTGGAAGAACCTCACGATGTTGAAGCCAGTATTAATGAGAAGGCAACATTTATATGTAAAGCTGATGGTGACCCTAAACCTGAATATGCCTGGTACATCAATGGTGTACCACTTGAAGATAGTATGTTTATTATTAATTATTCAATTCTAATTCATTGATGCAAGTAATCTATTTTATTAGCTAGCCTGTCACAAAGTGACAAGGTGAGCTTTTTTAATCACTTTCGTCCGGCATCCGTCCTTTCGTAAACTTTTACTTTAAAGCAACATCTCCTGATAAACTACTATACCAATTCCATCTAATCTTCACAGGAATGTTAATTTGGTGGTCACCTTTAAATATTGTTCAAAGAAATCAATTTCATGCAGAACTCGACTTGCCATAGCAATCAAAAGAAAAAACTTAAAAATACTTCTTTTTATAAACCCCAAAAAAGCTAGATCTTAGATATTTAACATGAAACATCTTTTTATGGGTGTCTACGAAGTTTGTTCAAATTAAAGCCCAGGGATCAAAATTGGCCCTGTCCCAGGGGGGTCATTGTTTTTCCCTATTTGTGTATAGTAGAAACTTAAATAATCTTTTAAAAAAAACCAAATAGCTAGAGCTTAGATATTTAGTATGAAACATTTTCTTGTGAGTGTCTACCAAGTTTGTTGAAATAAAAGCCCTGGGGTCAAAATTGGCCCCGCCCCTGGGGGTCATGGATTTTCTTTATATGTATATATTAAAACTAATGTTTTTACTCATGCACTATTTCAGATACAAATATTAACGATTAAGATTTTATATCTGCCTTTGTTTATAGTTTACAATATTACTTGTTCTTTGTCATGGTGAGTGTCTACATACAGGTGAGCGATTTCAGGGCCATAATGGCCTTCTTCTTTAATTGGAGCGGTAGCTTAGCGGTTAAGGTGCTTTTCAACCATGGATCATGGGTTCGAGTCTTACTCTACCACAACCATGATTTCTCATTACACCAGTACTGGTCGGTTCCAGGAAGTTGACTTGAAAGTGATTAATAAGCTGCAAGAACTTGTTTCACAATTGATCTGATTAATATGTCAATTATGTCATACTTCATTTAGTTAAAAAAATCTCTGGCGTTTAAAGATCAATGTTGGATGCTGGATTCTTGCTATGACTGAATTCTTACAGGAAAAGATTGCTATAAAACTTTCTTACCTGAAGTTGTTGACTCTAACAAATTGACTAACAAATAAGATTATAAAAGTTGCTTAGTGATGTAAACACAAGACAATAATTGGCTATAATGTTTAAGATAAGAGAGAGTATGTTATTGTGGAATATTTCTATCATGATAACAGGACAGAACGAGCTGGGTGTACGAGATCCACGTATCTACAACAACAACCGATTCTATAAGAAAGATGCTAACAATATTACCCTGACAAATCTAACATTAGAAGATCACATGAACATCCAATGTAATGCCAGTAACAAACACGGATATGTCTTTTCTGATGTCTACCTTAATGTTCTGGGTAAGTTGATATTACACATATATTACCTCAATGTACAGGGTATATTAATATCACAAAGTTTATATTCAACCTTTATGACTATTGTGCTTATAAAGTTAATATCACAAATGAAAATGAATATTTCATGTATTTAAGGAAGGGCTCAATCTAAATTTCAATTTTGTTGCCTTATTATTGTAAACAAGGCTTGGTCATATTTACTTACTAAAAGATTAAACTTATGTTTTTAAGCACACCATATATGTAAAAAATAAAATAAAATATTCTAGAATATTTAGGATGCTTTAGATGGTTCATCCAGTGATATTGTTTGGCCAATCTATTAATTATAGAAAACTTTTCTTTAAAATAATTTCAACTGATCCCATAGTGCTTTTATATATACATGACAATTATAGCAAAAACTAAGGGTACTTTATTTTTAGCTCGACTTTTCTATGAAAAGGGGAGCTATCCTACTCGCCCCGGCGTCGGCGTCGGCGTCACACCTTGGTTAAGTTTTTCGTACCACCCCACTTTATTTCAGAAGTATTACAAGTATGGCTTTGAAACTTACCATACTTGTTCACCATCATAACCTCCATCTACAGACAAGAGTACATAACTCTGTCAAGGTTTTTGACAGAATTATGGCCCTTTTTTGACTTAGAAAGTGTATTGAGCTTGGTTAAGTTTTTTGTACCACCTCACTTTATTTCAAAACCATTGGAGGTATTGCTTTGAAACTGACCATACTTGTTTACCATCACGACCTTCATCAACAGACAAGAGGACATAACTCTGTCAAGGTTTTTGACAGAATTATGCCCCTTTTTGACTTAGAAAATACATTGAATATGGGTAAAATCCACTTATTGCCTTAATCCTTTGAGATATTGCTTTGAAACTTTTAATGCTATTTCACATCATTACCCCCATCTGTACGCAAGAGAAGGTAACTCTGTCAAGGATTTGTTTTAAAAATTAAGGCCTTTTATCGACTTAGAATCTTGGTTAAGTTTTTAGTACCAGTCCACTTTTTGACTGAACTGTTTGAGATATTAATTTGAAAGTTGGAATACTTGTTTACCATCATGGTCCCAAAACATGGGCAGGAGAAGGTAATTCTGTTAAGGATTTTATTTGAATTATGGCCCTTTTTGACTTAGAAACTCAGTTAAGATTTTCATTCTTGTCCACTTGTTGACTTAACCATTTGAGATATTACTTTGGAAGTTGGAGTTCTTATGTGCCATCATGAGACCTATCTGTAAGCAAGAGAAGATAACTCTGTGAAAATGTTTCTTGATTTGTACTTAGAAATTCCTAGTTAAAGTCTTGTGTGCCCTTAACTGTCAAAGTTTTGTTTTATAGGCAAGCACTAAAAAAGTCGAGCGCGCTGTCCTTCTGACAGCTCTTGTTTATGTGAAGTGTAGAGTTGTTACCACCAATTATTGACCGCCTCCGTTGTTGAGAGGTTAGAGTCGATGACTTCTAATCCAGTTACCTCTCTGGCGTGGGTTCGATCCCCGGGAGATGCTTTGGTAGATTAGCACAGAGGAAGTTAGTCTAGTACTGGTGTAACTCTCCAGGAACTATGGTTAGGAAACTACCCGCCTATATGACTGAAATACTGTTGGGGGGAAAAGGCGTAAAATCAAACAAACAAACAAACAAAACCACCAATTAACAATACACTTTTTATCTTTGTTATGAAAACATAATTGTTGTAAAATTTATTGAAAATTTATATCTTAATTAACATCTCTATGTTTTTGTAACATTTTATAGCTTTAGTAACATGTATATAAATGTAAATTTTCAGCTGAAAAGCCTACTATAATCAAGCCTCCGCCTGCACAGATCAAGGTTGCTGAGAGTAAATCTGTTACACTAGACTGCCCGGGAAAGGTTAAAAATGACCCTACAGTCACCCGGTACAGAACCAAAGGCAAATTTCAGGGGACGGTTTCAAAATTATGCCTAACGGGGGGAAACTAAAACCCGGTATTATTGTATACCAAATAAGTTAGTAGCTTTACTTTAACAATTATATATTATAGTATTTTCTAAATGTTTCTTATGCCAGTTATTGTGTCTACAATGATCATACAAATTTTATTTATCTAATTATCTGATCAATTTCTTATTGAACTTGTCAAGCTTTCAATTTTGGAAATGTCCATTAACAATTTAGGGGATATCAAGATGAACATTTGAAGTCGATCAGTCAACAGTATAGAGCCATACGCAAGGTTTGCAGGTAGACCTTGCTGTATATGCTGGCAAAGGCTTAAACATTTTATGGGTTGAGCAGAGAAGGGTTAGATATTTCTAAGTTGAAATCACATTGCTGTTTCAAATTTTAAATTTTAATGTACCTGATCCTTTAATCATTGTCTTTTACTTAAAAGATTTGTCATGACTATCTAAGTTCAAATATTTATGCTGACAATATAGGTCCATTATAAGCAAGATTGATCTATTTATGTTCCATCAGTAGAGATTACATGCAGTGTGGGGGTTCAAATCCCGACATGGACTTTGGTATCTTTCATGTGAGGAAGCTATCCAGCTTAGCTTATGGAACGTCAGTGGTTCTGTTCAGGTCATCCCCCACCAGTAAAGCTGGGACATTGCCATATGACCTTTACTGCGTAAGTGTGATGTAAAACCCAATCAAACAAACAAACATACAGTGTGTCAATGACTGAAATCTCTTCTGTTGAATATAGATTTTTGTATGTTTTACAGAAAGTGGTAATGGCTGATGCAGGTGACTATAGATGTAGAGCAAAGAATATCTACGGTGAGGTGACGTCATCCTCGTGTAAAACACAAATTAGACGTAAGTTTACAATTATAACTAAATACCCCTAATATCTATACCTACAGCAATATATGAAGTTTATAGAATGAAGAGAAAATAATGAAATTTAGAAAATGTTTAATATTATTTTATGAAGTTGATTAGTTTTAACCAATTGATTCATTGTACTTAGATTTATAAGCAGGATTTATGCAAAAGATAGCTGACATTAGATTTTTATCTTTTTTTTGCCAAAAAGAAAAGGGAATGGAGTTATAGTTACGATATTGTTTGATTATTTAACAAAATTTTAATATTTAATGGTTGAATGTTTTGTTTGTTATCTGGGTATACACATGGGATGCTCCTGAAAATTTATTGTCAATGTCCTCCTTGTTTATTGAAAGGTTTTCAGTTTTGTTACCTCATTCAGCATTATTCTGTTTTACAGTATATACATATTTCATTTGTAGATTTGTTTATTTAAGGAAAGACGAGAATTGAGCAGTATCCGCTAGATCTTGAAGTTATAGCAGGATACGACGCTAAGTTTACATGTTCAGGATCTACAGATTTTGATGAGGCTGCACACATGGAGGTGTACTGGGAGAAGGATGATAAACGTGTGTCAACTAACGAACAAAGAATGACACAAAACTTTCAGGATAATTCATTGACAATTTCTGGAACAATTGTGCGAGATTCTGGAGTTTATACATGTATTATAACAAATGGCTTGGATGAAGATAGGGCATATGCAATATTGACTGTTAAAGGTTAGTGCTAGATGTAGATCTGGTTGATCTCTGTAGTCTGTTAACTTCTGCAATAATTTTAGTAGTTACTCCATGACCTACAATGTTTGATATAGACTTCCAAGATAAATCTCTGGTTGTTTGATTGGTGAATATTGGAAGGCAGGCGGCTGGACAATGATAACATGCACACCTCCTTCATTTTTCAAGAGATTTTAACCAATTTTTAACTGAATAACCAGTATCAAGTGTCCTGATATGAAACCGTTTGTTGAGATTTATTTGATTTTAAATGGAATAAAAAGACACTTTATTTTCACATATAAATTATGACAATTCTGGTCACTAACTTGTCTACGTTTTCCTTTATATACTTTTATTTGAGTGTATCAACATTAAGAAAATATTCCCATGCCGACACAAAAGAATTAACTAAACATCAGATCTCCTTACCTTTAAATAAAATTTGAAATGCTTTTATAAATATTTTTATGCAATGAAAACATAAGACTTGTTTATATAAAATATATTTGCTCTTACATTGTTATTAATTTGGTATTTTATTATTTATAGACAGGCCTGACCCACCATCTGGCGTGGAGACAGAAAGATGCCGAGACTCGTCGGCTGATCTTAAATGGATAAAGGGTATAGAAAACAATGCCCCAGTCCAATATTTTATTGTACAGTATAACACCTCATTCAATCGTGACCAATGGGTTTCTGCAAAAAAAGTGGAATATTCACAGAACACTGCTACGATACCTCTTCAGCCGTGGGGGAATTATACATTCAGGGTGATAGCAACAAACAAAATAGGTGCAAGTTCTCCTAGTTTCCATACAACCAAAGTTTGTCGTACAAACCCGGCACAACCAGAAAGAAATCCCCAGAATGTGAGATCTATAGGAGATACAAGAAACATGCTCAAAATACAGTGGATTGTAAGTTTACTTTTATATTAGAATACTTGCACTTTGATGTTTAGCATCATTTCAAATCTTTGAAGAGATAAATTAATACCTTCTTTATAACAAGTTTAAACATGTTTAATGATGTAAGATTCCTTAGACTTTTTATCAGATTAAATAACAGTTTGGATATCAATTATTTTGTTTACCAAATGTACTTTTAATATAAGTGGAACAAAGTTAAATTTATCTTACAATTTCAAATTTCATTGTGTTTCAGCCAATGAACGAGTTAGAGCAGAATGGTCCAGGTTTCAAATATCAGCTCACGGTGAAAGAACGTGGAAGTACTCGATCGGATACATATAATATAGATAATTGGCGGAATGATACGATAGAAATACCAAAGAGTAAACCTTACACACCGTACCTAGTCAAACTTCAGGCCAAAAATAATGTAGGTGATGCTAAAGAAGATCCGACAGAGTATACCTTATACTCATATGAAGATAGTTAGTATATTTATTTTATATTTCTTGCCTTAATACCTGTATCTTATTTTGGTAAATTAAGTGGATATTTAGGGCCTTTTGCAGTTTGACATTTTCTTTCTTTATTCACTTTGCAATATTATACTTTTAAAAACATTTTCAAAATTTTCATGGAGATTAACATGAATCTGGAGGCATGCCTCTTTAAAATATGAATAAAATTGATTAAAACTATCACAGCTGTGAGAAAAATTCATAATACAGTCGAGACTGTCATATGTGACTTTCCAAGGGACCATATGACAGGGAGTCTCTTAAAACAGTCTCAAAGAAAATTAAAATTTAAATACCATCTATATACCATTGTGACTTAATATACATAACTGTGTGAAGGAACAATAATAAACCAATTGCAAATAAACATAGGTACTTTAACAGTTTAAATATTTGTTGTAAATAAAATAAGAATCCCTGTAAAACAAATCACATAATCACATGAATATCATATAAAATTTAATTTTAGTTTTTGTATTAGATTTATATTGAATCATTATGGTACATAATAAATTTGATTTTGATGCATTAAAATAAACATCAGGCTTTAAAAACATATCAATATCCAAAGTTTTTTCTCTTTAAATGAAATGTCTGGAATCAGCATTTTCCGGTAGTATTTATGCAGCCATAGAAATGTGAAATAAAAAAATTGCTGCCTTAAAAGATCTTCCGTTAGCACTCCATAAACATTAAAAACAATCTGACACAAATCCTAATCCAGTTTGCTCAGGTCATTATGTATATTACACTTCAATTTGATAACACATTGATTGCATCATGCTTACCATATTTGGCAGTCTACTCCAGACGCTACGTCACTTGTTACCTGTATACATGTAATCTGTGTAATTGAGCCAGAGTTGTGTAGAGTTTGTTTTAAGAGTACTGACTACTGGATAATAATTGGACTTAATTATTTTGTCCCTCTGGGTGTTAAAACAGGTATTATTTATCTGATTAACGGACATTTAAAAGGTGTGAAAGTCGTTTAAATCAGACAAAGCAATGCATTGGGACCATACAATTAGGGTCGCTTGTCACATATGACAGGGAGTCGTATAATTCAGACCATTTATATAGGGAAAAACTATAGTTACTCTCCATAAAGTAACTTCTCTGAATGTAAATATATTTTGACTTGGTTTTATTTTTTACTATAATTTCTTTAGTAAGATACTTTATTTCTAAGCATTATTATTATATTATATGCTACTGCATTGTTTACAAAAGTATTGTACATGCCATTGTCTAATTTTAGTTCCTAAAGTACGGCCGAATGACGTAGATGTTACTGATATAGGTAATAATTTCGCAACAATTACCTGGACATGGGATTCATTATGGCAGGAAGAGCAAGGGGAGATGACTCAGATTCAGGGACAGTTAAAAGGATTCAGGGTATGTCACTCTGTAAATCATGCATCTGTATATTCATATAAATTCTACTATTTTCCTTCATCACAGCTATCCTAGATTTGTCCTCCCTTTACATGATATATAGACACTGAACTGCTGTAACAATTAAGTTCAGTTAACATAGTTTTTTAATGTCACTTGCTGGTAATTGATCATAAGGTTATATGCCCCTCCTGATTCAGTGGTTTTACTTAGGTGCCCGCTGATGTCTGAAGTAATTCATGGAGGGGCATCTGATTTCTTCCTCCACCAGTAAATTGGAAGAACATTGACATATAGGCACTGACTTTAGGTATTCCTCAACAAGGGTTGCTGGAAAGTCGCCATATAATTATTACAGTGTTGGTGTGACTAAAGAAAATGAGTAAAAGTTCAAATATAAGTAAACGTTGCATGCAAAAATTACAAGTTTTCAAGATTGTGTGGCAAGCATTTCAGTAGTTCTCTTGATAAATATTCAATTATGTATTTAGTTATAAAACACAAACAAGCATGAATAACAAGTTTTCTTGAAGTCAATATGTTAAAAAGGTATGATAATTGCAAGAACATTAACTTTACCTGAAACCCTGTCACAAGAAACTATTCATTACGATAAGGTATATAATTATCTTATTTTGTTAGATCCAATACTGGCGTACTAACGAGAAGTTAAGTACGTTTAGAGAAGTAGAGGTACCTCTAGCGGAGGTCATGCCGAAAGATCCGCCACCGGCAGGCATGCAGATACCCTCCACCTACATGCTGAAGAACCTCTCACCATACAGTAACATGCAGGTTCAAATCTGTGTCATCAACAACTTCTTTGTCGGACCACCCAGTGATGCTAAAGCCTTCAATACATTTGAAGGAGGTAATAACTTGTAAATCTTTCTCTTAATTTATGACTGTTAGACTACTATAACTATTGTTTTTTAGCTCGACTATTCGAAGAATATGAGAGCTATTGTAGTCGCCCCGGCGTCGGCGTCAGCGTCCGCGTCGGCGTCTGCGTTGGTTAAAGTTTTTTGTAAAGTCAAATATCTCAATTATTACTTGAGATATTCAATTGAAACTTACAATACTTATTTATAGTAACAAGGTACATCAGATTGACAAGTTGGATAACTCTGCCTACAATATTGACAGAATTATGCCCCTTTTTAACTTAGAAATTTTGGTTAAAGTTTTTTGTAAAGTCAAATATCTCAATTATTGCTTGAGATATTCAATTGAAACTTACAATACTTATTTATAGTAACAAGGTACATCAGATTGACAAGTTGGATAACTCTGCCTACAATATTGACAGATTTATGCCCCTTTTTAACTTAGAAATTTTGGTTAAAGTTTTTTGTAAAGTCAAATATCTCAATTATTGCTTGAGATATTCAATTGAAACTTACAATACTTATTTATAGTAACAAGGTACATCAGATTGACAAGTTGGATAACTCTGCCTACAATATTGACAGAATTATGCCCCTTTGTAACTTAAAAGTTTTGGTTAAAGTTTTTTTGTAAAGTGAAATATCTCAATTAATGCTTGAGATATTCAATTGAAATTTAAAGTACTTTTTTATAGTAACAATGTACATCAGTTTGCAAAATTGCATAACTCTGCCTGCAATATTTGCAGAATTATTTGCCCCTTTGAAACTTAGAAATTTTGGTTAAAGGTCTTCAAAGATATTTACTTGAAACTTTACACATGCACTTAGGGTCATAATTGGAGGGTCATAATTGTATGTACGCTCCCTTCGTCACTGACCAAGTTCCATAACTCTGTCTTGCATTAAGGCTGATTCATATCCCCTTTTCTACTTAGTCTCTTGGTTAATGTTTACATGCAAGTTTTACATATCTCAATAACTATTAAAGATATTAATTTAAAACTTCATATAAGCATTTAGGGTCACTGACAAAGATCCATAATTCTATCTTGCATTTAGGCTGATTTTTCTCCCCTTTTTCAACTTAGAAATTCATGGTAAAGTTTTGCTTGTAAGCTGTTATCTCAATAACTACTGAAGGGTTTGTGCCTTTTTTGGGACAATTTATGCATTCATAATAATAAAGCAGTGATTTACTTGATAAAACATCTTAATAACAAGCCTTTGTACCTTTTCTGTCAAATTTATGTATTCATAGGTAATTAGTATTATTATACTCAATAAAACACCCTTGTGACATTACCTTCCAAATAGTCAAGCCAATACTGTATAATTAGACTCTCTCTAAGGCCTATAACATGAATTTATAACAAAAAATTAGCCCTTTTGTGAACTTAAAAAATTAAACAAATTATAAAGGCTCTTTTACTATCAAGCACTTAGAATAGTCGAGCGTGCTGTCCTACAGACAGCTCTTGTTATAATTTTACAGTACATAGATCTACAGCAATTTTAAGTCATTCTTTCCCAGTAATAAAGTTTTTATTTACTAAGTTTGTATAACAGGATCTGGCCATACATTCATCTGGTGCTTAATTCAAAAGTAATATTATTGTAACACATTGAGACAGAACTTAAATTGTTATGATTTCAGTGCCGGGTCCAGTACCAAAGTTTGAGGCTCGTATAAGGACCAGTAACTCATTTGTTCTATTTTGGACAAGACCAGAAAATGAAGACCTAAATGGTATAATCACAGGATATGATTTAGGATTCCAAACTGGTAAACATTATTCTAATTAGCAAAAGTTGTTAAGTAAATAATGTTAAAAATACCAAAAGAGTGTGAGTGAAATTTTTGATTAATGCATTATGAATGTAAGATTTTTGCTTGAAAATAAGAAAACATGCTTAACAAGTGCTTGAATTTCGACATTTGATGTCTGTACAAACCCTGTAATTAATATTTTGATTTTGATTTGTACAGTTCTGAATCTACTGGTCTCACAGATGTTTAAGTAATTTAGTAAAAGTATTTCTTTATATAACATTATCAATAAGATAAACAAAATAGTAAGAATATTTATATAATGTTCCAATTAAATAAGTGTTGATGGCAAGATAATTTGAGCCATGTCACAACAAAACCAACATAGTGCGTTTGCGACCAGCAATAGATCCAGACCAGCCTGAGCATCCGCGCAGTCTGATCAGGATCCATGCTGTTCGCTTACCAACACTTTACAAGTAGAGAAACTGATAGCAAACAGCATGGATCCTGATCAGACTACGGATGCGCAGGCTGGTCTGGATCCATGCTGGTCGCAAACCCACTATGTTGGTTTTGTCGTGACGCGGCTAATTTATGTTAATCATTGATTATAAATTATAAAGTTGAAGGACTTGAACTTGGAGCTTTCCATGACCGTGAGGAACAGATCAATGATCCTATGGCAGTTCAAGCTGTTTTAAGTGGTCTCTTGCCAGATAGAAAATACAGAGTGCACATATTTGCCCGGACAAGGTTTGGACGAGGAGAGGGCACGTTTATTGAAGTCTCTACTACAAGAAAAGCTGGTAATTTTACCATAATTATTTAGTATAAATAAATAAGGTTCTATAATGTAGAATGATAATTATGGTAATGTATCTATTTCATGATATTTATCAACGTTCACACATTTACATGTAACCCCTCTTTATCAAAGAGTTTGCTGTTTATTTTCTCTCTTTTTTTCTCACAAGATGTTATGTACAAAATACAGTGGAACCTGTCTTATCCATACTCATCTGGACCAGAAAAAAAGTTTGTATTAGAAAGGTTTCCAGATAAGAAAGTTTTTACATGTTTGTACAGAAAAGTTTAAGGAAAGCAAACGGAAATGCATATGAAATTGCAACATAAATGTTTTATTTTTGCAATCTTATAAACTGTTATCGTTCATTAAAATACACATGAAAAAAAAAAGTTATGTCCTCCAGGGTAAGTTCTACCCTACGACGTTAGGAGGCTGGGACATAAAATATTCGTACCGTCATTATTGTTTTGAACTGGTTATACACATAGAGGTATTCATTAGAAAGTCCAGTGTAATGTGTGTTTGATTGATGAATTGTTGATTATTTAGACTGTTAATCAAATTCAGGAGTCCTTTATATATGTAACAAGTTTGGACTATAAATAAAGGTGTACTGACTGTTATGTTATTGCAGCCCTTGGATCTCCAGTGTTTGATGTTAGGGACATCGCCGAGACATCAATTAATGTGACATGGGCACCTGGTGCTAACACAGGAGCACATGTTGTGTATTATGTAGAATTCAGGAAGGAAGGTAGGATTATTTTATGATTTACTCACTGTGTCTACTGAAACTATTAACATTATATTCGTATCGAAAACCATATATTGAGTAATTTATATAAGTGGGGCATAGCTGAGTGGTTAACATATCAGACTTGTAATATAAGGCTTGCTAGCATTGTGGGCTCAAACCCTGACGAAGGCAAGCCATTGTACTCTTGAGCAAGAAACTTGGCTCTCAATGCCCAGTGCTGGTTGATTCCAGAAACAGATTCAAGAGTGTGTCACTAATTTTTAGCTCACCTGTCACAAAGTGACAGGGTGAGCTTTTGTGATCGCTTTTCGTCCGGCGTCCGTCCGTCCGGCGTCCGTCCGTCGTCCGTCCGTCCGTCCGTAAACTTTTACTTTAAATGACATCTCCTCATAAACCACTAAGCCAATTTCATCCAAACTTCACAGGAATGTTCCTTTGGTGGTCACCTTTAAAAATTGTTCAAAGAATTTAATTCCATGTAGAACTCTGGTTGCCATGGCAACCGAAAGAAAAAACTTTAAATATCTTCTTTTAAAAAACCATAAGAGCTAGAGCTTAGATATTTGGCATGAAACATCTTCTAGTGAGTGTCTACCAAGTTTGTTCAAATAAAAGCCCTGGGGTCAAAATTGGCCCCGCCCCGGGGGTCATTGATTTTCCCTATATGCATATAGTAAAAACTAAAAAATCTTCTTTTAAAGAACCCAAAGAGCTAGAGCCAAGATATTTAGCATGAAACATGTTCTAATGGGTGTCTACCAAGTTTGTTCAAATAAAAACCCTGGGTTTAAAATTGGCCCCGCCCCGGGGGGTCATTGATTTTTCCTATATACATATAGTAAAATCTTAAAAAATCTTCTTTTAAAGAACTCAAAGAGCTATGGCTAAGATATTGAGCATCAAACATTTTCTAATCAGTGTCTACCAAGTTTGTTCAAATAAAAGCCCTGGGGTCAAAATTGGCCCCGCCCCGGGGGGTCATTGATTTTCCCTATATGCATATAGTAAAAACTTAAAAAATCTTTTTTAAAGAACCAAAAGAGTTAGAGCTAAGATATTTAGCATGAAACATGTTCTAATAAGTGTCTACCAAGTTTGTTCAAATAAAAGCCCTGGGGTCAAAATTGGCCCCGCCCCGGGGGGTCATTGATTTTCCCTATATGCATATAGTAAAAACTTAAAAAATCTTCTTTTAAAGAACCCAAAGAGCTAGAGCTAAGATATTAAGCATGAAACATCTTCTAATGGGTGTCTACCAAGTTTGTTCAAATAAAAGCCCCGGGGTCAAAATTGGGTCCGCCCCAGGGGGTCATTGATTTTCCCTATATGTATATAGTAAAAACTTAAAAAATATTCTTTTAAAGAACCAAAAGAGTTAGAGCTAAGATATTTAGCATGAAATATCTTCTAATGAATGTCTACCAAGTTTGTTCAAATAAAAGCCCTAGGGTCAAAATTGGCCCCGCCCCAGGGGTCATTGATTTTCTTTATATGTGTATAGCAAAAACTTAAAATAATCTTTGAAAAAACCCAAATAGCTAGAGTTTAGATATTAAGCATGAAACATCTTCTAGTAAGTGTCTACAAAGTTTGTTAAGATAAAAGCCCTGGGGTCAAAACTGGCCAGGCCCCATGGGTGTCATTGTTTTTAACTATATGTGTATAGTAAAAACTTAAAAAAAATCTTCTTTTAAAAAGCCCAATGAGCTAAAGCTTAGATGTTTAGCATGAAACATCTTCTTATGGGTGTCTACCGAATTTGTGCAAATAAAAGCCCTTGGGTTAAATTGGCCCTGCAATGTTGGGGGGTGGTTGGGGGGGCCTATATACAGGTGAGCGACCTCAGGGCCATCATGGCCCTCTTGTTTAGTTTCCTGCTCAAGCAAGCAAAACTAAATTCTGTATTAACTAAAAAGTTTTTATATTGCAGCAACACTATGTGAATATATTTATTACAGTAATTTAAATGCACTTCAATGTTTTAACATAACACTTTAAAAGAAATATCGGTATTCCACATTGAGAACATAGGGCAAATTTACAGAACACTGTCAGATAATCTCTTTCACCTGAGAATCCTAAGATAATCTAACTTACGAATGTGGGTGGTATCCATTATTAAATGAATATTTATATATGAATTTGATGACAATGAGTTACCCACATTTTAAATCACAAATCATTGTACAGTGCTGTAGAATTGCTGCCAGCTAACATTTAAGTTTCATGTTTCAATCCAGGCAACCACTGATGAAATATTGCATGTGAGGAGTCACAAATCATGCTTACATATTAAGTGCTGTAGAGTTGCTGCCAGCTAACATTACTGTATAAGGGGTTAAGTTAGCAACGCAGAAATATTGGCGAATTTCGCAAATTGACAAAAATCGCAAAAAATTTCTCTAGCATAAATACCAATCACCCTATCATTAAATTCTACCCATACACAATTCGCTAATATTTCCTCAGGCGAAATGTCTGGTATTTTAAATTTGCTATCTTTTCGGCATGCAGAAATATCCTCTTTTACAGAAGTTTCATGGTTCAAACCAGACAACCACTAGAGCATGTAGAAAGACATCTTTGGTATTCCTCTAACACTAACTCTTGACAATAACCATTTGACTATACAAGTTATGAGATTGATTTAATATCAATTCTTGTACACAAATATAGTTTTAAAGAGATACCTGTAGGGCTACTTGTAGTTTCAAAAGCAGATAATAAATGTGTTTCTATGACAACAGGTGCTGCTGACTGGCAAAGATCTAATGATGAGGTGATGAGAAATTATAAGAACCTCAATAATCTAGAGAAGGGAACTTACTATGAGATACGTGTTGTAGCATTTGATGGTTATAACCGTGCTGCCAGTGCAAGTCAAGTTGTTGGAACAGTTGGATTTGGTAAGATAATATCTAGCTTTATTAGCCTATGTTGTAATCCTACTTTTGACCACACGGCAAATAAAATCATGTTTTAGTTTAAGCATAAGAAGAGAGTATTTTATAATTGTTATGAATGCAAATGTAGCCAAGTTTGTTATATTATACATAATTAGACAAATACTACTTGTCTATATAAATAAAAATTTGTTGTATGTCATTCAAATTCATATATTCAAATTGTACAACATAAGTTAACATTTATGTGAAAGCAGTTTGTAGTTACTATATAGATAGATCAGGATGATGTAATGATAGAGAATATTGTTTTATTCTACAGCTGCAGCTAGGGCAGTGGCAGCAAACTATGGATGGTTTGTGGGTATGATGATAGGTGGTCTTATATTTATTGGCATTGTAATATTTATATACTGGGTACATAGACGAAGGAAGGATGTTGAAGAAATTCCGAAAACCAGAAAAGGAGGTAAATGTATTGCATCACTAATTACAATTGTTTGAATAGGTTGTAGAATGTTCTCTGTTGCTACTCTGAATTAGTTTGAAAAAATTTGAGGTTGAGAAATAAAATTTAATGTCGGTACAATTTATAGCTGAGAGATTTTTTGTTATATTGCAAAAGATGTTTATTATAAAATTATATATATTAAATTATTACCATCCAATGGAGATTTATTGTCAAATAACAGACATAAGTTATTATCTTGTAATAGAGATTTATAATAGAATTAGAGGTATATTACCATGTAATGGAAATTTATTGCCAAATTATGGACATAGGTTATTATCATGCAATGTAGTAAAGAGATTGGGATACATATCTTTATTATGGCCATTAAAATACACATAACTAAAGTGGTAATATTATTAATTTATTGACAGCTGTTATTAAGGATAATGCACCAATGCGTCGTGATGATGACTTTGAGAGAGAATCAAGGGGACAATACAATGACTATTACAAAGATGAAAGGTAACAAGTCAAATTTTCAACATTGACTATGTTTATTGTATAAAGAAGTGTTTCGCTTTCTGACATTAATATCCAAAGTCCCATATAGAAAGCAGTGATTAAGGTCGGGAATATCTCCAAGCAAATTAGTCATACATTTTTTGAAAACTTACAAGCATTATTGTATAAAACTGTAAAACATAATGCATTAAACAAACTCTAGGCAGTAAAATTTTATTTCAAACTATAGTTATAGGTATAAAGGTGTATTTAATGTCTATAAATTAAAACTATTTACTAATATTAAAAGAAATCCCCGTTTTCCACACATTTTTCACAGAAGCTAAATTTTTACAAATTTCTAATACATGTATCTTCAAATTTCCTTGCATTGGAAGATACAGAATGATGATATTCTTATTTTATTAAATTTTCTCATAAGTAAAAATAAAAACATCAACAGACATGAATGCTTCTCAATTAAAAGAAATAAAAGATACACATGTAAATAGCAAGTACGAGAGATTCTTGTAACTTGTCATTTGTTAGAAACAACCTAATGTTATTTAGTGTTTGAAATTATTTTTTGTCCAATAGGATTGCAGTATTTCAAATGAATCGTAACACATTTACTTTGGTAAATCAGCAAACTGTTAATCAGTCTAGTAAATCGACTGTAAAAATAATTTAAAACACTAAGCTGGTTAATATTTATAAATACGTATTTACAAAATTAGATTAGGCGAGCGGCTGTGTCATATGCCTGACCAATTAAATTTTGTAAATATGTACTAATTAACTTTAAACTATACTTAACTAGCTATTAGCTGACAGTATACGGTTTTATATTCATACTAGAATAGTTCTTTATTTGTTTCTGTTTGTATGAGGAGTGGGCAATGTATACCTTTTCCTTTTTTTAAGTTGCATTTTGGACTCAAATAGTGCTTAATTGTAAATTGTTTTTTGTGTCTTGGTTTTATCCTAATAATTTGAATAGTTGAGAAACAGCATGGATCCTGATCAGACTGCGCAAATGTGCAGGCTGGTCTGGATCCATGCTGGTCGTAAACGCACTATGTTGGTTTTGTTGTGACGCGGCTCAATTTTATAGAGATATGAATGTGTGCTATATGGTAGATATATAGTAACTTAATAGCTTTTTTTTTTTAACAAGATCTTGTGTTGTAACCTTGTAAGATATTGTGTCAATTTTTTTACATGTAAAATTCATAAAAATGCATGGGTCATTATGAAAAATCTTTAAGGTGAAAGATATAGCATGATGTTAGGATTATTTGAGGGTATTGAAAATCTCAGATGTAGGGTTTTTCAACAATTTCAATAGGAAAATTTCAAGAGATTAAGTAAAAGAAAATTAGTGGCTATGTCTTGTTGATATTGTATCAAGTTGTATTTTCTGGTACAATAGTTAGGCCACATTTAACATGAAGAGATTATTTACACGAGATCATGTTCTAACTCCACCTTTAAATTTTATGAGTAACAAATAATTTCCACATGGTCCTAATAAGAGCCTCTATTCTAGACAGCCCTCTTTCTCTAACAAAATGATTTAATCGATCCAAAATTGAATGTTGGTAACTTTTGCCCTTGCTGAACTTATGTAATGGAGTTGTCCTTTGAATTTGAAATAGTATGTATGAAAGTAAAGGTTTTTTGCAATGTCTAAATACAAAAAAAGAAAACCCACTTAGCTACACACAGTATATAGACTGGTCAAATTATGTACAAACCGACAAGGCAGTCTTTACTGGTGGTAAAAGTTGATCACTAACAGTTCCAGTAGGTTTAGGTTAACAATGTACAGAATATACCTGGGCTGTTATTGAACATTGTGTTAGTGATATATCATCAATGTTCAATTCATTATTAAGAATGGATTTACAAGTTAGAATATCAATACAATTTTAAATACAAATTTTCATGTCTTGTGCAAATTTATCTCACTGTGTTTGTTTAAAATTATTGTTTTTATATTCTTGGCTAGCTTGAGAGAAATAATAACAAGAAAACAAACTTAATTTTAGTATGTTGTATGCTTGATGACTAAAACAAGCATATGTAACACAATGATGACAATTTATAACAAGAATTCAAGTGGGTGTTTTAAATCGTGACAATGTTCTTGAATTCTTGTGCAATTCTTACCCCATGCTATGCCAGTATATGCCAGTGACCACCATCATTATATTAAATTCATCCTTAAATTTCACGGCATTATCATAGATTCTAGAATTTCTTGTCACAGTGAAAATATCTTTCAAATTTATTTAACATTTCTAACTGGGCTTTAACTTTCTATTTGTTGCATGTATGTACATTTCAGAAAAAGATATAGAAATGAACGGTAAGAAGTGAAAACGAATCACCCTGAAGTCAGAATAAAGCATAATCATCTATCAAATATAGTCTATGTTTTCTTCTAAGCTTGTCAAAATTTTAATATGCAGTTATTTACTGATATAGTTTGACAAATATTGGAATTATTTAGCAGATTTCCTTTTTCTACAGCCAAGTTATTTAAGTTAAAGGATATATTTCAGTTAATATAAATTCAGTAGGTTTCTTTTTGTCAAAAATTGGCTTATTGATTCACACATTTAGCTGACAATGTCTGTTTTTTCAAAGCACAATGTTGTAATTGGTGAAAAGGGGAAAGTCATGTCAATGTATGCCTTATTGAACTTTCATAATCAGAAAAAAGCATGTAAAAAGTATTAACACCTAAGTCATGCTAAGTATCCTAAGACTTGTCCATTTTTCAATCTGGACAAAACCATCTATCATTTTTAGCGAAACTTTCAAAAATATAAACTGACCAAATAGTGAAAAGTTCAGACTATGAACATATGCCACAGTGCTGGCTGATCTTGGTCTGAACTGGTTGTATGGGTAGAATAAATGGCTGCCAGAAAGCAGCTGAGCGTTAAAAAATGAATACTATACCTCCATTCATTTAATACAACTTTTCACATGATAATCAATATTGAAGTAGATCTACACTTATGAAATATCCTATTACTTATATGAACAAATCTTTTATGTAAAGGGACACAAATATAAATTTGTCAAAAGCAAGTTATTCTGACAAAAACAAATAATATAAATTTGTCAAAGGGAAGTTACTCAGACAAATACAAATGGTATAAAGTTCAGTCAAATGCAAATGGTATAAATTTGTTTAAGGGAAGTCACTCAGTCAAAATACAAATGATATAAATTTGCCAAGGGAAGTGACTGACAATTTCTTTTACAATTATTAATCATTCTTAAAATAATTATTCACTTTATTAATCAACTTACAGAGAACATAGACTATTCAAAGAAACAAGCAGCATTTCATTTTTTTAAGCTTCAGTATTGAATTTTTTACAAAGGGCAGGCTAGACAAATATTTAATATATATAAAATATTTGTACATTTATTTGTCGTAAAATCTCTATGTGGTGTGAAGTTGCGTTGCATTAGAAAATGAATATCAGAAGTGGCAGTATATTTGATGTTCCTTTCTTGATTTTGCTTACAGCTTAAGTACATGAACAATGAAAAATTTTCACCTCTTGAATTTGATAAAAAAAGATTGCATTTCTAAATCTTTTTCTTTTTTTATGATATATATCAAGTTTCTTGCTTGTATTTTGTTATTGGTATGTAAGTTTTACTGCTAGTCATTAAATCTTGCTTTGATAGGGTATATTTAGGTGTATGTCCACATGCATGTTATATTACATATAAACTGCAATCGTGTAGATAGAAAATAAAAAGTTGAAAAGCATATTGTATTTATGAGTTAACACATATGCTGATTTTTATCTTCGTCTGGTGGTTAATTTCTATGTCAAACTAATTTTGATTGAAATTTCATGATACATAATGTATATGTTTGAAATTAACACCATCACAGTATATATATTACTGTCTAGCCTGCCCCTTGTAAAAAATAAGCTTTGCTTTGTGGGTTTGAATTTCTTCTATAACAGTGACATTTACTAACGTATTTATAGTTTATACTCAGAACACACCAGACTTAGATAAATCTGTAAACACTTTCTATTATTGTCTTTACTTCTAACTATATGTACAAACATATTTCATGACTTGTATTTATTTTGTTATAAATTATTGCCTATTTGACGTATTTCTGTTTAAAAAGGGAAAGTTTCTTTGTTTGATTTGATGATCATCATGATTAAATGGAAGAATTACTGTAATTAAGTCACAACCATTGGCTGCTTTATATTTCTGCTGTGCTTGATCCATTATCACATTTCCCATAGTTGTTCCACAAAATTCTGTCAATTATTAATATTAATTATTTAATTTGATGTGTTCTACCTAATAAGTGTTTTTTATTTAATACAAAATGTCACTAGTTCCATGTTTAAATGTTGAATTCTGCCTAAGCCATTGCTCGTTGGGGTGGTCAATAGCTTGCAATTACCTCTACTGTCCATGAAAAAGGTCAATCAAACTGAGTCTGCAACATTTTTATTTTTTGACATTTTGGGCATCGTTTAGAGATTCTGTTTTTCTCTATTTTATCACTGGGAGCTTGTCTTTTCTCTACTGTCATACATCATTTATGTAAAATGTAGCTAGTCTATAGAAAGCATGTTTGTCTAGTATTAAATAGCTATAGAAACTATTCAATTCATGGAATGGAATAGTTTTTCACTTAAAAAAAAGAATCCAATAGAATAACAAAAATCAGATGATGTTTGTTTTTTTTCTCCACTTACTGTAAGATTTTGTAATGGTACAAATTTAATGTATGTCAAGTTTGGCCTATACAGATTTCAGACTCATAATTAACAAAAATTTACATGATGTTTACCAGTTACCTCATTAACATAGTAATATATGTAAAGTTCATGTTCAAATAATTTGACAAAGTGGCAAAGAAAGCAGCTAGAATCTTGCCATGCCATTCTAAACTATACCTTCTATAACAGTATTGTTTGGTATTGTAAGGGAAGTCAAGTCTGTGTTTAATAAACATGTAGAAAAATGAAGTCAAGATTTTGTGAAAATTTTCAATAATACTTCCATAAAATGTTATCTAGTAATCCTATTCCACAATGTTCAACAATATTTCCTGTCAAAATGATATCTGGATCGTAACTTTATATTTAGCTATTTTAACACCAACCATATCTAGAAATACACAGACAAAAGATATTGAACAACTTAAATGATATTCTGTTCCAGTAGTAACAAATATGTAACACAGGTTTTGTTATTTGTATAGGTATGATGAATATGAGCGGGACCAGTACGAGCCACATGATGAACCTGCCGCAAGAGGAATTTCAAATCACGACTACGATGAGAAGAACGGTGGTTACCATGACGATTATAATGATGAAAAGAGAAGAGATGATAATAGAGATTCGTATCGTGACGACTATGACAGGGACTCGTACAATGATGACTATGACCGTGACTATGATCGTGATTATGATCGTGATGACTATGATGATAGAGATAGATATGATGATGATGATTACGATCGGGACTACAAACGGGAAAAAGAAGGGTAACTTAATATTTTACTTATTTAACTTAGTTTGTTGTGAGTGTAAATCATTTCTCCTGGAAAAAAAGAATCTGGAGAGCTTGTTTATTAGGGTCTCAGATAACTGTAACTTACCTGATTGGTAGATATTGATTTTAGCTCACCTGTCACAAAGTGACAGGGTGAGCTTTTGTGATCACTTTTCATGCGACGTCCGGCCGTCGTTCGTCCGTCCTTCCGTTGTCCGTCCGTAAACTTTTACTTTAACTGACATCTCCTCATAAACAACTAAGCCAATTTCATCCAAACTTCACAGGAATGTTCCTTTGGTGGTCACCTTTAAAAATTGTTCAAAGAATTTAATTCCATGCAGAACTCTGGTTGCCATGGCAACCGAAAGAAAAAACTTTAAATATCTTCTTTTAAAAAACCCATAGAGCTAGAGCTTAGATATTTGGCATGAATCATCTTCTAGTGAGTGTCTACCAAGTTTGTTCAAATAAAAGCCCTGGTGTCAAAATTGGCCCCGCCCCAGAGGGTCATTGATTTTCCCTATATGCATATGGTAAAAACTTAAAAAATCTTCTTTTAAAGAACCCAAAGAGCTAGAGCTAAGATATTTAGCATGAAACATCTTCTAATAAGTGTCTACCAAGTTTGTTCAAATAAAAGCCCTTGGGTCAAAATTGGGACCGCCCCGGGGGTCATTCATTTTCCCTATATGCATATAGTAAAAACTTAAAAATCTTCCTTTAAAGAACTCAAAGAGCTAGAGCTAAGATATTTAGCATGAAACATGTTCTAATGGGTGTCCACCAAGTTTGTTAAAATAAAAGCCCTTGAGTCAAAATTGGCCCTGCCCCTGGGGTCATTGATTTTCCTTATATGTGTATACATGTACATAGCAAAAAACTTAAAAATTCTCTTTGAAAAAACCCAAATAGCTAGAGTTTAGATATAAAGCATGAAACATCTTCTAGTGAGTGTCTACAAAGTTTGTTCAAATAAAAGCCCTGGGGTCAAAATTGGCCCCGCCTGGGGGGGGTCATTGATTTTCCTTATATGTGTATAGCAAAAACTTAAAAATCCTCTTTGAAAAAACCCAAATAGCTAGAGTTTAGATATTAAACATGCAACATCTTCTAGTAAGGCCATTTTTTTTTTATATTTTGGTTTACTGATTTTTTCCAAAAAAAGGTAGGGTCGGAGGAGGGAAAAAAAAAGGAAAAGAAAAAAGTTTTCATAATTATCTTCATGTCTGGAAGGTGAGATACTTTATAAGTATCCCTTCTCTTATGATTAGTCCATTCCCATTCTGATAAATGTGATGCGTATGTTGTACTTACGAGAGAAATTAAATGACCAACTGTCTAAATTCCACAGTGCTTATAAATACACAAAACAACCAAATTGCATCCACAAATTGATAAAATATCATGTTGCTATTATTTAATATACACACGAGATGACCTCGCCGACCCTTCAAAAGAGTCGGTAAATCTTTGATGTTCACACACATGTAGTCCCAGTTGTTTAATCCGAATCATCAAAGGTGCCGACACTCAACTGACTTGCACTCATTTATTTATATAACAGAAGTTTAAAAACCTGTCAAGAAAAGATTACACATGTTAAATTATTGTCCAAGTCAGAGACATAGACATAATCAAGTTGAAAAATATTTCTATCGGAAAATTAGCGGTCAATTACTGACATGTAAATTATTAATAGTAAGTGCATTTTTTTATTTTGTTTGAAAGGAAACCCGTATCTAATCTCCTTTTAAAGACTATTGTTTTTGTTAAATCTGTAAATAGTGATCTTGTCACTATATTTCTTTTTAAATTTAATTTAATCTGATTCTCATTGAATAAGATTTCTCTCGCTGTATCCATGAAAGTGATAACTAGCGTATTTTGGCTTTCTTTTTCTTTTTTTGTAGTTGTTTTCTTTGACATTTCTACACAATTGGACCTTCAAAACATGATTTTATACATACATACATGAATTATATTTTAAATATATAGATATTAACCTAATTAATTTGGCGAGAATGGTTTAACTCATTTTGCAGACATTTTTCTTCATGCAAAATACATCGCCGTCAAAAATTATCTCGACGTTTCTTTGACAAGTCTAATAAGTAATAAGTTGGACTTCTATAAATCTCCCATAGAACATTTAGATCTAAGTTTGATTAGCGCATATTTTGAGTACTTTTTTTTTCGGGGCAGATTTTTTTTTTTTCATTTTCCCAAAAAATGGATGCGGCGGGTCAGTAAACCGAAATATAAAAAAATAATGGCCTAAGTGTCTACAAATTTTGTTCAAATAAAAGCCCTGGGGTCAAAACTGGCCCTGCCCAAGGGGTGTCATTTTTTTAAACTATATGTGTATAGTAAAAACTTAAAAAATCTTCTTTTAAAAAACCCAAATCAGCTAGAGCTTAGATGTTTAGCATGAAACATCTTCTTATGGGTGTCTACCAAGTTTGTTCAAATAAAAGCCCTTGGGTTAAAATTGGCCCTGCCGGAGTGGGGGAGGGGGGAAGGTCATTATTTTTCATTATATGTGTGTAGTAAAAACTTAACATCATGAAACATCTTCTAATGGGTGTCTTCCAAGTTTGTTCAAATAAAATCCTTGGGGTTTAAACTGGCCCCGCTCCGGGGGCCTTAATACAGGTGAGCGACCTCAGGGCCATCATGGCCCTCTTGTTACTGGACATAAACAATGTCTTTCATGCACAACTCATACCTTTTAATTAATGACACAGGCAAATGAAGTGGGGACAAAAGTGTCTAACTGATGCATTTCTAGTTTCACATGATATGTTATATTGTCAAAAAACCTAATTTTTGTGACAATTTCTACATCAGTTTTATATAATTTCAGGATTAATTTTTTTACCTATATGATTTATTTTATATTTATGAAACATGTCAGATGTATATTTAATTATGTTAGGATTGTGTACTGAATAATGTCACAAAATGTCACATTTAGTATATGTATTCATGTCACACAATTATTGTCACACTGTCACACACACATATATATATATGTACAGATATGATGACTATGATGAAAGTCGTGACCCACCACAGTATGACAGAGCACCGAGGTATGATCGTGAATTAAGCTATGAAGATCGTCATCGAGCCAGCGTAGATGGTGAGAAAGAGTACATGAGTGAACCATCAAAATTTGATGCTGATGGTGCTCCTATAGACAAGCCAGCTGATCCCCATTCTTCAACATTTGTATAATAACATTTGTATTAGCAGCATTCAATAACATTAGTGGAAAAAGTTGCCATTAAACTAAGTCTTGTTAGTGGTATATTTGGAAATCTGAAGATAAAAAACAATGTTTATAGGTTTTATGAAGATTTTCAGTAAATAAATCTACATTATCAAGAAATATGTATTTTTACAATGAATTCATAATTAATGTCCTATATACATTTGTGAATATATATGACAGAAATGAAAAAGAACTAGTTTCTCCTGCAATTGTTAAAGTTTGATCAAATAATGTTACACATATATTTTATATTTCATCTTATGCTTATATTCTTGGAAGAAAACAATAAATTTAGATTGACCAATCAAAGCAAGGGATGTCTGCTAAATACATAATGTATCATAAATTAAATTTTTAGTACTATTTTTATAATAACTACACTTTGTATATACATGTATATCAGTAACAATATAGCATTTGCCTGCTCAAAAGGAAACTTGTATATTAGTGATGTAAATATTTGTATGGTAGACTTTTTTATAATGTATGAATGTCAGTACATATCAATACAATCATGGAGGTTTTTATAAAACTGAAAACATTTTTATTAAATCATAGAAAAAAATATACATTCTGTAAATATTTGTGTTTATACATAACTTTAATATTACTTGACTTTAATTGAGACTACAGCAATACATCATTATTTGTGTTTATATTTGACATGTAGATAAGATAGTTTCATATTAATTCTCATATGCTTCTATTTAACTATTAAAAGAAACAATGAATTAACTTTTGCTTAACATTCTGTGAAATATTTCTTATTTTAAATTTCGATTTTCCAGAAATATGTATCAACTATGTTTATTAAGATGTAGTGCTAAATATATTTAGTGATTAAAAATTTAAAAAAAAAACCTTTTCCTGAAAGTGATGAATGAATAATTTTAGTAGCTTCTAGCATATATTTTGTACAAATGTCAGGCATATTTTATTAGTTCAAACATTCCATTTACACAATAATCATTTTACATGTGATGACATATATTTTGTAATAAAACATTTGTACCTTAGAAATGATAGTTTTTCCTTTTTTTATGACCCTTACATGCTTTTTATGCCCCCGCCATGTAATGGCCGGGGCATATAGTGTTACCCTGTTCCGTCATTCCGTCCTTCCATCCTTCCGTCATCATCAGTTTCCGTTCATTATCTTAAGAACGGATGCACACATTCAACTCAAATTTGACATATGGATATGTCATGAGAAAATACAGGTCAAGTTCGAATTTGGTCATGGTTTGATGATTTTTGGCAGAGTTATGCCCCTTTTACTTTGAAAATAATATGAAATTTTCAGTTTCCGTTCATTATCTCCCCAACGGTACAACACATTCAACTCAAACTTGACATATGGATATGTCATGAGAAAATACAGGTCAAGTTCGAATTTGGTCATGGTTTGATGATTTTTGGCAGAGTTATGCCCCTTTTACTTTGAAAATAATATGAAATTTTTAGTTTCCGTTCATTATCTCCCCAACAGTACAACACATTCAACTCAAACTTGACATTTGGATATGTCATGAGAAAATACAGGTCAAGTTCGAATTTGGTCATGGTTCAATGATTTTTGGCAGAGTTATGCCCCTTTCACTTTGAAAGTAATATGAAGTTTTCAGTTGCTGTTTATTATCTCCCCAATGGTACAACACATTCAACTCAAATTTGACATATGGATACGTCAAAGGAATGCGCAGGTCAAGTTCAAATTTGGTCATGGTTTGATGATTTTTGGCAGAGTTATGCCCCTTTCACTTTGAAAATAATATGAAATTTACAGTTTCTGTTCATTATCTACCCAACAGTGTTACATATATTCAACTTAAATTTGACATATGGATATGTCAAAGGAATGGGCAGGTCAAGTTGGAATTTGGTCATGGTTTGATGATTTTTGGCAGAGTTATGTCTGTTTCACTTTGAAAATAATATAGATTCGTCTTGGGAATAAGCAGTTTAAGTTTGAATTTGGTCGTGGTTCAATGATTTTAGACAAACTTATCTTTCCTGAATGTTGGAAAAATTTTGAACTTTCAGTTTCAGCACTCGTACTTTTAACCATTATTTTTGCTACAAATATGCAATATGCTATTTTCAAAAGGTTAAGACTGAATAATTTCAGTGCCTTGAACATTGTATGAAAATGGTTTGTGTTAACATTGAAAAGTTTTAAGGGCTTTGAACTTAAAATGAAAAAAATAATTAATGCACCATCTGAAATTTTGGCTGCATGCGGGGGCATCCGTGGCATGATGACACATCTCTAGTTAATTTTTAAAATTTGTCCGGACTACTCTTATGCCACTGATGCAATTTAATTGAAACTTACTGAACTTATAAATAGCTCAAGTACTTGCACATATTACACAGATTTTCTGGTTGAATGATATTGGTTGAGTTATGGCCCTTGAATGCAAAAGGCATTTTAGCGAGTTATTTTTTGTGTTGCCTCACTAATACACAATAGTTGAAGCTTGCTGCAAAGTAGCAGACTTGTATAAATCACATTCTGTTCGTCTTTCACAATATTTGTCAGGTATACTAACAAACTGCTGGTCCAATTTCCAAACTTTAAAGGAATAATCAGTACGAAGTGTGCATATTTTGAACAGTTAAGAGTTCAATAAATTTTGCCAATGTTGTGACCATTTAATTATTTTTATGTTTTAAAATTTTGTCCGAACAACTGTTATACTACTTGAGCAATTTGAGTGAAAATTTGCAGGATTGATCGGTACGTCAAGAACTTGCGCATATTACACCGGTTTTCCGGTTTGATGACATTGGCCCTTGAATAAAAAGGCGTGTTGGTCTGTAAAGAGAGTTTTCTTGTTAAGTTACTGCTAAATGATACGCAACTCATAACAACATAAATGTATACTAATAAAATGTTTTAGTGTTGAGGTATTTATTCTTGTTTTCAATCCGTTAATACCTTGTAGCTACTATCCTGGTCTGTTGAGTTTTGAGCTGTAAATATATAAAGATACAAATCAATAGAAATATGCACTAAAAATTAGAAAATTTATACCTAGTAGGAACTTCGTTATAACAATTATCATGTATTATTTACATGCTAATCAGGCTTTAACTGATTGAATATATGATTTGTAAGCATCAGATCACCATCTTCCGGACTGCATAATTTACTCTACTCCACATTTGGCAGCACAAGAAGCTGTATACACGCGGAATGCATGAAACTGGGGGTCCAGCGCAAACAGTGCTCTCTTGAGGACTGCTGAAAATTGTTACCTAGTCAGGTGATTACAGTTAAAGTGACAGAACAGTGGCCCGGGAATACTGAGTCTGGATTCTACATATCTTTTAACATGTCTTATTGGGTATAAACTATTATCTTGCAACTTTGAATTTTTTATCGATGCCCCTTTTCCGATTGGTCTGCCTTTGAAAACCTTAAGAGAAAAAAACACACGTCCATCTTCAGGTCCGAAAGTTATATCCGTATGTCTAGGATAATGCATATTCATGTCAACCTTTTTATTGGCTGTCCCCTACACAAAAAATATCCAAAGTATGCTACTGTTAAAGCTGCAGAGAATAGATAAATCTCATAAGTGTCTGAAAACTTAGTCAGAATGCCTTGAAGTAACTCCAATGTAATAGGAAGGCGTGCCTTCTTCCCTTTGGCTGTAATCGACGCAAACCCTCCAAGACCTTATTAACTATAAAATGTTTAGTTCCATCATAAAACCCCTTATTTTACACTAAAAGCTTATAACTGCCAAATATAATTCTACTTTCCAGAAGCTAAAGTTGCGTAATGACTAAAGCTATAAACAGTGTAACCTTTTGAATAGCTTGCGGCCAGAGCTCGAGCAACCCGTAACTATTATGAAAACTGTTAAAACATGCGAGTAAAGTATTGTATGCCTTATTGGTATTTGGCGCCAAAGAGGCCCTCAACAGTCGTCCGGTCTCAAACTGTAGATCATACACATAATTAAACTGATGAGGGGGATTAGACGGTTTCCGGTCTGCACTGGGTGCCATCTGCCAAAAACGTGCCTACTGTCGACGAGAAATAGCATCTGCTATAGCATTGCGCTTTGAATAGATCTGAGCTGCCCGAAAAAAGTGTTCAGCTTAATACATTTAAGCACAAAAACCCTGATCAATTGCATTAGTCTTTTAGACTTGGAAGTATGTTTGTTAATAACCTGCACCAAGGCCTCATTATCAATGAAAGAGAGTAATTTTTTTTTTTTGCAAAGCGTTCCACCCACAAACAGAGTGCCAAAACTACTGGGACCATTCATATAAACCAACCTTTCTCTGGTCAAACATATATGTGCCGCATCATTACAAATCCAACATAATGCGTTTGCGACCAGCATTGATCCAGACCAGCCTGCGCGTCCGAGCAGTCTGATCAGGATCCATGCTGTTCACTTACAAACTCTATTACAAATAGAAAAACTGATGGCGAACGGCATGGATCCTGATCAGACTTCGCGGACGCGCAGTCTGGTCTGGATCCATGCTGGTCGCAAACTCATTACGTTGGTTTTGTCATGACGCGGCTCATATTTCTATTTCTTTTATTTCTTTTTCAATAATACTAATTTTTGTTTGAATAATACTTATTGTTACCAATGTTTTTCATATTGTTTGTTTGGTTTTTTTTCTTGTCATATTACATGATAAATGTATCATATGTAGAACAATGTAAATGCTGAGATTAAAATCTTGAGATGACATTCCTACTTAAGCAAAGTGTATAATGTATATCTAACACTTACATCTGGTTTGGAAAAAACAAAACATACTTTAATAAATTAAAAATACGAAGATTTGAATCAAACATTAGAATCTTAAACTAAATTTGACCTTGTCGTAACATTGTCATGCTGTATATGTAGCTTTGGTAACTCTGAAAAAAGAAGATCCCTCCCAGGGGGGATCGAATGTATAGAGGTACGATACTTTTTTAAGCGAGGTGAAATGGTACGATACGGATAAAGGGCGGAGTCTAGGAATTTGTCGCAGACTTGGTTTTATTGAATCTGTTCGAAGCTGCTACATCTGTCATGCTCTATGATCACCACTTCAAGACTTTGCTAAACCTTTCTTTGTGAAAAAATCAACATTAAATTACCGGTATAAAATGAACTTGCAGTTAGGACACATATTAGTCACTTCGGACTATAAACGTTTGTTTTAAATTACGATTCATTGTGCATATTGCATACTAATAGAGATAAATATAAAATACTCAGACAAGCAATAGAACATTTACTAGTCAAATGAACAAATGTATTTGGTGAGGAAGAATTCGAGATCAAGGTCATAAGTTTATATGTCATAGCTAGAACATTAAGTTCTTAGTTCACTACAAAATGTAATGAGATCTAAATGCAAAAACTATTGTTAAACAGAACTAAAATATCATACTTAGCACTTTAACTAGAACGTTAAAGAACAATCTTGTATATTTTATTTTATAATGGCAAGAACTACTCTTTAGATTTTAGTTTAGAACTATCTTAACTGACAAGAACTGTCCTCTACAATTTGTTTTAGAATGGCCAATGGGATTCCCAGATTTCATTTTGTAGTTTTAAAATGACCAATGAAAACTCTTCTTATATTCAGTTCTTCCTTGTAAAATTTACAGGAAGTCAAACTGAAAACAGACCGGCCAATGGCCGGAACTAATCTCTAAGAGGGAATCAAAATTGTGAGATTTTCGTTCAATTGTTCCCTGCGGTCTGGAGACCGCAGGGTATTGGTACGCGTTTAACTTTTGAGGCATGGAGGAGCACGTGACCTGTTTTCGGTACATGGAGGAGCATGTGATCTGTAAACCGTACACGATTGGTTAATTGACCTTTTCGAAAACCTGGCTAAATACCGTTTGTCGGTACGTTACGGAATTACCTCTAGGGAATAAGTCAGAATTACACCTAATTAAGAATTAAAAACTATTACGTGATATTTCTAATTTTTATCATAATTTTACAGTTTAAGGTGGAAAAACTTGAATGATGTATTTGAAAATTATCATTGAATCTCAAATTTTACAAACAATAAATTGTTTATACTGAAAATATACAAAATTAAAATATTCGTAGTGGCATCTGCCATTTCCGCGTAAACTTGTGTGTTTACTTTATTTTATTTTTTTGCTTGGAATTATTCGTAAAATGGTAGGCTTATTTAATCATTTTCTTAAAAAGAAATACATGTAATTGTTTGATGTTCGACCTTCTCCGGTCATCAACGGTCACCAGTTTCCAAAGACCTTCTTCTATTTTGATCGATTATTGTCAACTATATTCCTGATACAAACGTTTATTTATTCCCCTCTCCCAAAACAATGTTGAAAATAGTTAAATGAAATATCTTTATATCATTCCCCGCAGGAAACCATTTTACTTGTTGCTTCGCTTAATTTACTTCGCCAGACATGTTGGTATGGCTGTAAATGTGGCAATGATGGGGGTCTGATGCTTTATGTATTGATTTGCAGCTATACCTTGATTTACCATTACGTTTCTATTACGATCAGCAGAAATGGTGTCGAGAAATTCTTTGCATTTGACTGCTGACGAATTCGCTAATGGATAGAGGCATTTCTGTCTGAGCATGTATTGTTTGTTTTTCTAATTACACAAAGTTTAATGCTTGTGTTCTTTATATTTTCATTTATAATGCGTCATTATATGCAGTAGTACATACTTTTTATTCATTTAAGCCCCATTTCTGTACAGTCATACATATATTATAATCATATAACGTACATTCAATGTGTATTATTATACTAGTATCATATTATCAATATTTTTTTCAGCATGAGATCATCTAGTTTTTGATGCATCGAAATTATATTTATTTTATTTATATAACTTGAATAATAAATTGGAAAAATGTATATAAATAATGTTTAATGTATATAATTTTTTATTATTATATATTATTATATATAACATTTTTAAACGACATAAGTGTGGGTTTATTTTTAACAATCTAATACCATTTAACGTAGTGTGAATACAATATAAAGTAAATTTACATTTATAGATACAATTTTACTGCTTGTAGTTATCACTATTTACTTTATACGTTGATTCGCATAATTGGAGCGGAACTTATTGCCTTAAACGTATTTAATTTTATATTGATATATTCAACTATTATAGATAATAAGCAGATAAACAACAACAACAAGAAGAACAAAACAAAGACGGGAAAAAACACTCTAAAAACGCCCCATAAATCTAGAAAACTTTAATGAATAACAAAATATTTTTTCTTAAAGACGTGATCCTTAAGGGGAAGTTTACACTTGAGATAATGGTTGTGCTAGCGTTACAAGGTCACGGTTGGTAGACTTTTATTTTCGCTTATAAATGTGAAACAATTTAATACTGTATCGATTAACCAGTTTCGAACATAAAAGACATGAAATATTCAACATTTTTGAAACGTTTTCTTGGATTTTATCATTGAATGTGACTTTATTGAACTTAATGAGGAAGTATATAGTAAAGAACATAATTTGTATATGAAATTGTCTGTATCTGTTATCAAAATAATAAACTAATAAGTTATGATACTCGTCGAACAGATGTAAGATGATAGAACGGACTTAAAAGAAAGTTGATGAAGATTTAGAGTTGAAATATTTCACAGGTAATATCAAAGTTTTGTTTATTTTCTTTAATTGTCACAACTGTATTTAAAATGTATTAAAAACCCATTCCGTTTTTCGTATATCTAAGTTTCAGTTAAAGGACATATTTAGGAAGATTATTAAAGCATTAAACAAGCGACGTTCTGCATATAAATAGAGTTAGATTGTGCGTGTGCATGCCATTAATGTCGATATGTTATAAACTTTCAATGTTAAATCTATACCGAGTGGGTGAAGTTAAGATGCCTTGGTTGATTACTCATACAGATATTTTTGGGATATGTCAGTCCTAACAACACCATAATGATCGATCTAGAAATAATTAGGCACGACTATAAATAACTCAAAGTTATACTTAGAATGCTAGATATTTTACATGATGTGAATAAAAATATGCAATATATGAAATCAACCTTCATAGAAGAAAACTTTTTGTATGAAGCAAGGGAATGATACCAACGATTCGTCCCATTTTCAATACGTCCCACGTTAATAAAAGAATTTGAAACGTGGTTTAAATCTTTAATACTGATGGATGAATGAATAAATGAAATGTATGCTTTAGTATCTGATACAGTTTTTTTAAAGACGGAAAACAATTAGATAGTTAGATAATCAATATTTTAACTGGTACCTACCTGCATGTTTTTGTACCGATTGTGTGATGATCCGACCCTATTTTAATAAGTTTTATGACAATATGTTTGAAATTAAGAAAGTTATTGCATATATATTTTCCTTTGTATTTGCCGAAAAAACATCAGTTATTTGAAAATAGGTGATATGAACTAAAATTTTATTTCGTTTTAACATATAGATTATCATAGCAATATCTTGATCTGAGTGGATTTTACTAGAGCAGGATCTCACGAGGAATAGCAGCGCGGAGTGTGATCCGTTTCTTTAAGTCCATAAGAGTCAAATACAAGTAATAGATCAATATACACCTATAATAATCATTTATTGTACATACATTATTTATATTATATTTTATTATTGTACATGTATACGATGTTTATTTAAACATAACGTAATTGACAAAATACTTTTAACGTCATTACGGATCACACACAATTAATGGCATCATTTTGGCCTTTCTGTCAAAATTCGGATACAATAAAATCATTTCATAAAACGGATACTGTATTTACTATCTCGATATAGTAACTCGTGCTCACCACATAGTAACTCGTGCACACGACTTAATTATCTTGTGCGCACGACTTAGTTACTCGTGCGCAAGGCATAGAATCTCGTGCACACGACATGGTAACTCGTGCTTACGATATAGTAACTTGTGCTCACGACAGAGTAAATCGTGCGCACGGTTTAATTATCTTGTGCACACGACTAAGTAATTCGTGCACACGACCTAGTATCTCATACTTACGACTAAATTATCTCGTGTGCACGACAAAACATATCGTGCACACGACATGGTATCTCATGCGCAGGACATAGTATCTGGTGCGCACGAGATAAATAAAAACATACACATGCCACCTCTGTGCCTCCCTAGATACATTCCTTAAATAAAGCAAAACTATACAGGTAAATTAAGTTTATAATAAATTATCTGCTTTAAAAAAAGACATAACAATTACATCAATAGAATTCTTCAGCCGTGTGTATTCATTTGTTATGAATGAATAAGTATAGCTACGCAATTATCACTGCCTGTTAATCTAATCTATACATTTTATATGACGCTTGAATGAATCCAAAAATACTTCCGTTTTCCTATAATAAGTTAATATGAGTGGTTTCAATCGTCATTAAAATGGGTCGAGTCATCATGGGACGAATGTTCAGTAGTGCACAGGACTTCGTATATTGTTCTTCATTATTATTCAATGTTTTTCTATTCTTATTAGAAAATCATTATTTAAAAAGTCAATATTCTACAGTAAACAAGGCGGTGATTGTTTGATGCTACATAAGATGGTGATTGGAAATGGAAATAAATTTGAAATGACTGTCACACCCGAATGACAAGTTACGTTATTCAGGGCTGTTTTGATTGGTATATTTCATCAATATTAATTTGCACGATATTTATTAGCGAGTCTTTGTCTATCTGGTTACAGATTATATCTAATAATGACAACATTATCATAGGGCGGTGCTTGTTTGAATGAAATAATGTACATACATTAACAGATTTACAGGAAATATACTATAGAATTGTGCAAAAAAGGGTAATATCCTTTGTATTTATGTATAACATTGATGTATTATCAAGAAAAGGGACATTATGATATCTAGTACAATTTGTATAGGCAATTTAACACAAGTGATATTGAAATACGTCGTTCTGTGAAATCACCCATATATACATTACCTAACAGTGAACTTAGAACTGCCTCTGCCTCGTAATACTAACAGTCAGTCATCACCACCAATATCAGTAATACAACAAGACTGGCAGAAATTACCTCGTGAACTGCATCATTCGTGGCACTTGTTTCATCTTATATATGATAATGACATCTAGATAATGAATTTGGCTGCTTTTTTCTCTGTGGAGACGTATAATCTCAGTATGTGCAACATTTGTAGCTTACATTTCATATGTACAGACACAGACTTTGATACAAGAGTTATAAAGATGATACGTTTAAAGGCGACAGATTAAAGTGTTATTGTTTTGGATTTTTTTTCACTTCGTAGAACATATATTGAATATCAGGGATAAAATAGCTCGCATAAAGCATAAAACCACGGTTTGCGTAATTCTCTAAGAATGTACTTATAATATTTATTGTATAATGTTAAAGTTGAGCAGGAATAATTCTTTACTATATGTTCCACAGCAGAGCTTACTTGATGTGAAAGGGACAATGTCAAGGCCACACAAGAATCGTATAACAGGCGGTGGTCAGTGGAGACAAAAACAGAAAAGAATTGACGAGCCAGAGGGCCTAGCACTCGGTGACCTAGGTAATAAAGTTTGTTTGTATACGTACACACCTTAGGCAAACTTATAGATTTAAAATTATTATAGCAGAGACATAGATAACATTTTATCTATGTCTCTGATTAACCTTTTACCCCATGAGCATATTGCGAAAAATGGCCGTTTTCATTGAAAAGCCTCCTGTAACAAGTTCAAACTGCTATAAAACTATGAAAAATGCTTCAATACTGATGAAACTTGGCACAAAAGTTGACTACACCATAGCCTCTGTAACAGCATGCTCAATCGTAAATTTCCTGTTACCATGGCAACGGGGGGACGTCTCAAAATTGCAAAAAAATCACTATTTTGCATTGTTTTTTTCCATCAAAACTGATTTCAAAGTGCTGCAACTTCTCAATGAATTGAGATAGAGTAAAAGGCTTTTCAGCGTCGGTTATTAGTTACCCTAAGATCGACCTGAGGCCATTTTTAGCCTGTCACATGTCCAAAATTTTCTTGGCGATGAGTGGGACTCCGCCCCCCTTCAAACCCCCCCAAACAGAAGGGGGCACATCCCCCTTCTGGCAACCCCCTGATATAACATTTGGATGGGGGACGGCGCCGAAAAAGTGGTCACTTTTTTAAACAACATTTCTCAAACGAAACCCAGTGTTTTGGGGCCTTAATAGGGCATTTTTTCACTGTTTGAGGCCTCAAAAAGGGGGGGGGGGGGGCAAAAAGCCGTCGAAACACGCTTATATGAGGGAAAAAGGTTAATTATAGCAAACCCGAAGGCCCTGCTCGCAAAGCGAGCTTTACGAAACGCGAGTACCTGCTAGATAATGATGGTTTTGAAAACTTTCGTCGGAAGTACTGAATTGACACATTACAACGTTTCGAATTACGAGGTAACGACGGATGTGTAGACTGGTGTCTTTCACACTTAAAAAAAAGTCCTCACAGTGATAACCTCCCTTGGCAGAATTGTAATCACTGCCTCACAGACGTCACTTGATGATGAAAGTCTCATGACGTAACGTCGAAATTCAAATGGAAATATCGACCGTTACATAGAAAATCTTAAGTCATTTTTTCTCTTTTCTGTTTTATTATTAACTTTTCGTACCTACGCCCGTTATATTTTATCAAAAAATTATTAAAAGTATACAAAATAATGAAAAATAAATTCAAAAGCTAAAAAATATAAAATATCAAAATATTGATATTTAAATGTTTGTGATGGCAGAGATCTCTGTACTGATAAGGGGAATCACTGCATAGGAGATTATTATTATTATTATTATTATTATTTGCAAACAATACATTTTTAACATGGAATCATATATTAAGATTAAACAATTATTGTGATCGTATTTCATAATTATGTTGTACCACAGTACGAATATACATAGATATGATATTATCTTTTAAAAAATCTAAACTATATTTTCATAACAAGAACTTAATTTGGCAGAATGATTTATTAAATTTTGTTTAATATAAGGCAAAGACAGACGTTCATTGATAACGTCGGAATCTGTGACGTCATTAGCAGCAGAGCTTGGTGAAACCACGTCGTCAGACGACTTTCAGAGAGAGGTAAGTCCGCAAACTCCTTACAATGATTACCTCCCTTTCCAGACTTGATGATTAAAGTCACATGACGTAACGTCGGAATTCAAATGTAAAAAGTATACCTCATTTGCATGCGCCCTTCTATATTTAATATGACGTCATCCGGTCCATAAACCGCATACAGACTGGGGGCGGTCCATAATTCTTATAAGGACTGGATGACGTCATATTAAATATAGAAGGGCGTATGCAAAATGAAGTATACTATTTTAATTTGTTGTAAAATGATTCATTTTTACTGAATTTATTATTTTGTTTCACATAGATTTATTACATGTTAATCAAAAGTCATGATTTGTCTTTAAATTGATTATAAATTTTATTTATATAGTTTGTGAAAATCTTAAAGTTCGGGTGTTTTTTCGCCTGTTTTTAATTTGATTAACAAAAATTGAATAACAAAAGAAGAGCGTGATTTTTTTTTGCTGTATCGCTTGAATATTATAATAAAAAAATCGACTAGGGTTTGAGATATTTCACACACTGAGCAAATTAATAAATTATTATTTGAAAGCAAATTATAGTAAAAATGACAGCAACAAAGGGGATGAAAGGATTTAGATTCGGTATAATATATCAAATATATCATGGCCTTTCGGAAAAGATGCAAGTTTAGGGACTGGTTGGTCAGACCTCTGAAGGAATATGTCCCTCAGCTGCTCTTCGGGCCATATACCTTCCTCAGTCGTAAACTTGCATATTGCCCTTAAGGCCATGTTTTATCTGTTAAATATCGACCGTTACGGTGAGAGAAAAACAAATGTCAGTTTTCTCTTTCTGTTTTATTTTTAACTGTTCGTACCCACGTTCGTTATAGTTTATCAAAAAAATATCAAAGGTATACAAAATAATGAAAAATAAATTCAAAAGCTTAAAAATATAAAATATCAAAATATTAATAAAAATGCGTGTGGTGGCAGAGATCTCTACTGTATACTGATAAGGGGCTATTGTCTACAGAGTATTAATATATCCATGGTTTATGTTGAAGTTATATACATGTATAGACATTACATTTTATATATTTTTGTTACGATGATGAGGTGATTATCACATTATCTAAAACTATATCGTTGGGTAATCACCGAAATTTTCATACATAACCGTTTTGCAATTGTATCACTCACCCATGCCGATTTTGCGACTCCGTAAAAACTGTCTTGTACGGCTGTACACATATTTTGACGTGACGTCATTTGCGATATACAAACCTAGTGTAATGCAGCGGTTATTGGGGAAATGGGCTGGAAACCATCATCAGTTAAACAGTGGGGTTCTGTAGTCAGGCACTTCTGCAGAATGTCAAAAATGGATAGTGGTAGAATTAACCAAAAAATCTTTGTTTGGGCAAGACGGAGTGCTTCTTCCAGATGTAAGAACCAGTATTTTAGAATATGTAAGATGTTTAGAAGTATTGAGATAAATATTAATGATGTACATGTTTTTAGTGCTAAGAGAATAGTTGAAATGGTCGAGAACAAGTTACGGTCAGTTGAATTAGATAAGTGGAAACAGTCACTAAATAGGAATGATACCAATAGAAATACTGGTGGTAATAAACTTAGAACATATAGTTTATTTAAAGATACTCCGGTTGTTGAAAAATACCTCAAGTACAATTTACCCTTCCATCATAGAAGTTCTTTGACAAAATTTCGTTGTGGTGTTGCGCCTATCCGGTTAGAGACAGGCCGTTATGAGAATTTACATGTAAATGATAGAACATGTTTCAATTGTACCACAAATGTTGAGGATGAGATTCATGTAATGTTACACTGCCCAGTATATAATGATATCAGAGAAGATTTGTTGATAAAAATACGTCAAATTAATACTGTATTTGATACTCTGTCTGACATGGAAAAGTTATGTTATGTACTAAACAACTTTGAAATTGTTAAATATTCTGCCAAAGCCTGCTACCAAATACTGCAACTTAGACGTTTAAGGCTGTATAGGAGATAATTTTTTACTTTAACTAATCTAGTCATTAGTTGTATTTTTTACTGAATTTTATATGGTTTTTACATGTTTTTAACAATACAAATTGTTGTAAATACATGTATATAAGTACAACAAGTATGAGTATGGTGCTTTTAAAGTTCTTTTATCAAGATATTTTTTATTAATAGGTTAAAATAGGAATATTGCTATTGATATAGAAAACAGGAATGAAATTGTATGGATTTAATGCCTATGTGGTATAATATTGATCTTGCCAATTTAAAAAGCAGCCTGGAATTTCCAGGTGTACAGACTCCTTCAAAGTATTGTAATAAAGGAAATTTATTATCATGAATTTTATATTTAACTTTTAAGGGTATTAGCTAAACGATTTTATGAATTAAAAAGTATTAATACACAGGGTTAGATCAAACAACAATTATTGTCATAGTAATATAATTAATAGACAGACAGGCACAAACTTGACCTCTTTGATCATATAATTCATGTTAGATTGTGTCTAAATATTGACTTTTTATTCTTAAAAAGTAGATATTTTAGAGATTATTTTAATAGTTTTACAGTCTCTTATAACTCCTTATGTAGGAGTGGCTTTGTGTTGTGTAAAAATGTTATGTTTTATTTCTTAAATATATGTAAAGATGCACATAGATGAGACTTAAATAAAATATTTGAGTTGAGTTGAGTTGAGTTGTAAAGACTCGCTAAATGTTAGCGTTATACTATAAGTGCGTCATTGAAAAATTATTCTTTGTCACTTTAAACACTCTTTATTTAAGATATATGATAAATTCGTGTATGTTCAATACTGAATTTATTGAACGCGATCGTTGAATGAAATAATATTATGCTCGCTAGAGGCTCGCATGATTATAACTTTATTCAACTCGTTCAATAAATACAGTACTAAACTTACACTCATTCAATATTCTCTATTATATGACCACTGTAAAATCCTTCATTTGTTTTTTTTAAATTAAGATCTTATTCATGCGAATTATATAGAGTCAGGTACACAAACACGGTCCCATATTTTTCAGTTTTATTAGAGGCTGAAAGTTCTTTAAGATATGTCTCTTATTTATAAATAATCTTGTATCATGAACATTTATTTGATCAGGTGTATATATATTAACGTTAATATACGTACCTGATTTGAGGAATATTTTTATAGAAAAAATTATTATCTGTTTCATACAGATAAGTCATATCGGATCATGTATCTCACGGCAAATTAAAATGTTATAGAATAAAGAAGTAGGACATCATTGTGATGGTTGTATGTTTAAGTTTTACACAACAACATTTCCCTCTCCATTTTGAAGGTAGCACACAAAACAAGCACGCTTCTGATTGGTCGACAAGAAGCGGAAACGGAAGTGTTTACTGATGTTCTCGTGAAACGGAAAGGAGATGTGCATAAAGCTCTACTCTTTGTTATTTCTCACATGAAAATTGAATCAAAAGTAAGATATGTTTTAAGTTATTTATTTTTTTAATTTCCTACGCCAACAAATATAATTTAACTACATTTAAAGGGCGCCGTTTCTTTTCACTAAGGTAGTGTATACTGTATACACATGTTCTTTGATACATAAATTAGTTAGAAGACAGGAATTGCTTTGAAATAAACAAAGTTTGTTACAGATTTCAGTACTGGTGAATAATCTAATAAACCGCGGTGCCAGCACATCAACGGCGGATTCTGACTTAAAGACACCTCTACATCACGCCGTCATT